TACTCGGAAAGTTGTGGAGTTGTATAACTGGGGCGCTAGCGGAATCCTTGCAAAACTTGCGGAAACAATTCTCTGTGTAGTTTGTTCCACGTCCGTTTGTTTGTGTTTGTGCGAGTGGTTTTCCCATTTTTCCGCAACCCTCCGCAATGTCGACCTCAAAACCAAGGGTGTACTTGCCCCCGCGCGGGACAATGAGAAGCAGCAGTCCTCACTGGAGAACCAGGAGAACCAAATTCTCCTCAATTCCCGGGTGCTCGTGCTCAATTCCAGGAAATGATTTAGCCGCGGTTAGGGCGTATCCATCCAGACATTTACACAAATCATTTTCCGGCCAAAAAGAGACAGCTGATTAGCATGATTCTCCTTATTCTTCTCTTGCAACTGGTAAGGGAGGGAAATTCTTGCGTGCCATTAATCTCTTCCTGAATTTCAGCAAGGGAGAGAGGGGGAGAAGGAGAGAGAGATAGAGAGAGAGAGAGAGAGAGAGAGAGAGAGAAAGAGAGAGCCAGACAGAAATATGGCCGTGTCAGCGAATTTCAAATCGACACCACCTCAAAATTGAGGGTTGCCGGCAGGGGTTGATCGAAATGTTGGGCGTAGGATCCAAGCTGTGAGGTCAGCAGCTCTTTGGAGATTTTCAGACAGTCTGGCTGTCTCGACTGTTTTGCATACCAACAGCTGGGCTTTTCTGGCTTGGCTTGGGGTAAACAAATAAAGAAACTAAAAAGGTATTTGAATTTAAAGCTTAGAAAACTACGTGCGGAGTAATAAGGTTGAAAATCTACAGTGAACAAACACAAAATTTATATCATTGAAAGGCGGTAGAAGATGTCCTGCGTGAAAATGGCCGATACTTCTCAAGAATCCCTGCTAGCCTGCCTGGGTTCAATATTGCCTTGGTTTCGTCATTTCCACTCTTGTCAAGTAATACCTATCCTACGTCAAGCCGAGGCAAAACAAAAGGCAGTTGGACAGGACTCAAGTAAAGAATATTTTCACAAAGACTTTTAGGAGGCATCCTTTTCGAGCAGTTCAGGGATCACACTGAAAAACTTGCTGTTCTTCGGCTCTTTAGGATACGAAGAAAGAAAATTGTGATGCGCTCAAAATGATGATGAACGAGTTCACAACCGCAGTTCACGAAGTACTGGATCAACAAAACTGCAAAACGCTTTCATATTCGGATAACCAATAAAGCATCTTCACGGACTTTTCAATGAGTTCGAGCTTTCAAATTTCACGTCATGAGCAAGCGCTCAAAATCCAACAGGTTGAATTTCTGACAGAAATACGATCTCTTCGAGCAATTCAAGTTATTTTGCAAATCTAAAAATCCCAAACAATCTCCCCCAAGAATTTTGATCAACTCCTCGACGATGGTGTCAAGCTTCCGGCGCGTCTTGGCAGTAGTGCGGGACCTCTTTCCCCCCCTCCAGCTGCGAGGTGGAGAGTGATAGGTGCTTCTCGTTGTTGTGCATCTCTGTCTGTCTGTCTGTTTGTGAGTGTGTAGGTGTGCGTGTGTCCGTTGGCATCGGCCCCTCCCCCTTACCATCTCCACCTCTTGCTCCCCCTCCCCTGGTCGTGCTCCTACTATAAAAGGCTGACAATTACCCTCTGCCGGTACCCTCACCAAAGGAGTCGGGCTTCATCGCTCTCGGACCAAGGTGGGTGAGCCGCATCCCTTTATTTTCATCTTGACTCGGCGATTTTCGAGTTTCGCCCCGTCTTTTGACGATTCTGACCTCTACAGGGTCATTCCCCGGCTACAGTACCCTTTGGAATTTTCTAGAGCTTCTTTAGTCTTCCTTTTTGGGCGTTTTGAGCTAGAGCTTTGTCGCAACTAGGGCAGGTCTTGCTAGTGCTTGCCATCATTTTTTTGGTAGTACTTTTTGCACCCCTTTACGCTCCTGTAGATAGTATGGGCCCAGAACAGTTGTATTTTTAGAGCTGATGCTCCTTTCCGGAGCTGTTGCTCAATTTTTTTCTAGATTTTTGAGCTACGGTCCGGTCGAAATTAGACGGTTTTTCGATGTTTTCATGTTCTTTTCCTACAAAAACACGATTCTGAGGCTAGTTTTTAGTTAGTTTCAGCTATTTTCAACTTTTTTTAGCGGGCCTACGACCCAATCTGACGATTATGATGTTTTGAATATCAATTAATGTGATTTGTTAGCTTTTAACTCAACTTTCCAGGCGAATACCAGCTCAGTTCATACTTTCGAGGCAAATCGGCGACTTTTAGCATCACGCTTTTTTCATCAGCATCTTTCCACGCTTATATTTACCCAAAAAAAATCATCCGTTCTCCAAAATCTATAAAAAGTGGTGTCTTAACCATCTCTAAAGCGCTAAATAGCAAGCATTTTCTTGGCGTAATCATGCAAACAGCCCAATAGCGTTTTTCGCATGTCCAGCTTCTAGAAAGCGATAGGGCCTCGAGAACTTGGAAGATCTATCCGGTGCCAAAACCGTAACCCTGCCCTTGAAATGTAGCCAAAAACCTCTGCAAAGTTCTAAAAGTGTACCCCAAAAGCTAGATGGCATGCTAATCAGATGGCTCCTGCCTGCCCATGCCGTTAGTTGCCCCTATTGAAACCTACCCCCCCCCCACGAAACTTTAACGACCATTTGTGCCGTAGGCCCACAGGAATGCTGCACTTGCTCAAGAAAAGGGGAGGCTTTTCCCCCGTTGCCCTGTAACAAAAAGTGACCTTAGGCACACGTTGGCAATCCGAGCACAAAAAGTGAGACCGATCCGAATGGCCTCCAGGGGGGAGGAGGCTGTCAAGTAGCGGGAGCTCTTGCTCACTAACCGGAAGGTACGATAGTTTCGGTATCACCCCTTGGGAGACGACGTCAGAGCGTTCGGATTGGTTGTCTCTTGCTAGGTCTGTCTCTCTCTCTCTCTCTCTCTCTCTCTCTCTCTCTCCCTCTCTCTCTCTCTCTCACTGACCTTAAATTTTCCAGCCTTCTGGTTGACGTAGGTATAGCCGTTTTTTGAGTTTTTCTATATTTCTAAATCTAGGTTTTCGTATGGTTGGCAAGCCAAACCTAAAAGCCTAAGCCTAAGCTTAAGTCTAAGCGAAGCCTAAACCTAAGCGAAGCCCAATCCTAAGCCTAAGCTACCGCAAGGCGCTTAGGTGCTTTGGGTTCGGGACGGGACCAGCAGTCGATAGGAAAAATTCTGAGCAACACCCGTTCAAAAGCTGATCGATAAACATGTTTAGAAAATTGAATAAAAAACGGTGTCCCGACCTTCGGTGATTGAGGTGATTTCGACGGTGGACGCCCCGTCACATGAGGACCACGCGCCTCGATCCGTCCTAGGCATGGCCAGTGGCTAGTGCGTTCCACGAGTTACCTTGCCACAAGTTCGATTCTATACCGTAACCTGCTTTTGCTAATTAAAGTTTTATGCACCGATAACGGGTCAAGCAAAAGCAAAGGGTTAGCCAGCGCGGAGATCGACCAGGCAAAAATGTTAAAAATTTGGTAGGCAAGCGCGCTACCAATACGCTAATGCAAGCTGTGATGGAGGCCTTGGCGGAGGGTTACGAATGGGGCCCTGCCCCGCCCCGAAAACGCACCGGGAATGGACCCGAAACGAGAAAGGCGCTTTTCTAACACTTTATCGTCAGCACTTTTCGTGTGCTCAGATTTTCTTCGCGCTAGTCCCGCAAGCCCAAGCGCCCTTTAAGCCAAGCCTAAGCTACCGCTAAGCCAAGCCTAAGCTACCGCTAAGCCAAGCCTAAGCTACCGCTAAGCCAAGCCTAAGCCTACCCCTAAGTCGAAGCCCAAGGCTAGGGCTAAGCTTATGTCGAAGCTTATGAGCCTAAGCCTGATCTAAGCCTACGTCGGTGCAGTAAAAGTAGCTTTCTCTCGCTCTTCTCTCTCTCTCTCTCACTCTTTGCCTTTCTTTCTCTCGCTCTCTATCTCTCGCTCTCCAACTAGCTTAACTTTCACTAGAACATCCCCTAGTTTTTTACTTTCCCAGATGCCAGATACTAGCGATTATTACCTGCTGCGTCAGACTTTCGTGTCTCTCTCTCACTCTCTCCCCCGACTTTCTCCCGCTTTCCCACCGTTCCCTCCATTGGCCGCCCCGGGGTGAGACATTTCGGTCCGGGAACGGGTTCCACTCCCTCTTTTTTACCGCCACTTTTTCTGCACCCCCACCTGGGTTACCTTATTAGGGCGAGTGGCAGTGGCACATTCCTTCCTTCTCCCCTAGGCTAGCCACCCGGCTGGTACCATCTAGGCAATATCCCCCTGCTTCTTAGACACCATTACTGAGGAGGAAAATCCGGATACGATGGCCAGAGGCGTAGTGTTTGCTTTCGATTAGCGCTTGGGATTGGTGGCGGGGTTTCACTTTCTTAGGAATATCTGGTTGGGATACTGTAACTTTGCGTGGTTGATTTATTTTGGCTTGATTTTCAAAGCCTGGGGCGCGTTTATAGGAATGTAGCGTAGCTTCAGGGATCGGATGTGCTGGTTAAGAGGTGTCAAAAGGAATGAGGGTAGCGTAACGTGGTGTAATGTACAAAAGTGTGGCCGTGAGAATCCAGTCTTTTCCATTTTTACAGTCGCTAGGATGCGTTTTTGAGAGTGTAGGGTCGCTTGATCTACACCTGTGACGACTATTTACGTCTATAGGAGCGTAATGTTGCTCATCGAGCCTGGTTTTTCTTGCAAGGTGTCTGTAGGAGTGTAGCGTAGCTGGAAAAAGCTCTTCCAGGTGTCCTTAGGAGGGTAATGAAGCTTTGGAAGCCTCGTTTTTGCCTTTTTTCACCAAAATCTACAGTAATCCTGAATTTTCTGCACTTGTCATTTCTGATTTTTATTTCTCGATTACTGTAGATTGTAAATTTGCAAATTTCTGTTCCGCTGAATTCCCCGGGGTGACGGTACCTGTAGAACCTAAAAAAATTGTTCTTTTTTGCTGAATTCCTTTGTCGACGTAACGATTTTCTAATTCAATACATTCCACACCTTTCCAGATGACGGCTGACGTGAAACAGCTGGAGGCAGAGGCCTCGTCGCTGCGACGAATTGCCTTCGTCGGCGTCTCCATCTCGACGGTGGCCACCCTCGTGTGCGTCCTCTCGGTCCCGATGCTCTACAACTACCTCCAGCAGATGCAATCCGTCATGCAGGTACGGTACTAGACATCATGCTCTAAATTACGCTTGACAATCACTCAAAAATCTAATTTTTTGGCTATCTACGAGCCATTTCTGGGTTTCGTTTCTGCTTCTAATCGGCATATTTTCAGTCGGAAGTTGACTTCTGCAAGTCTCGATCGTCCAACATCTGGAGGGAAGTGACGAGGACTCAGGTATGCTTGTAGTACTTAGATATAACCGACTATCTAGCTTATTTACATAGCGTAATCAATAAATCGGCACAATAAGAAAAAGCTGACTTATAGAAATTTTTAAGTGCAAAAATATATCCTGGACGGTATCTTACTTACATCCGAGCTTTCCAGGTTATGGCCAAGCTCTCCGGGGGCGTGCGCGGCAAGCGTCAGGCCGGTTACGGTAGCTCCACCGGTGTTGAGGGAGGCTCTTTCGACGCTGCTCCGGCCAGCGGATGCTGCGGATGCGGACAGTCCCCACCTGGACCCCAGGGACCCCCCGGTCCCGATGGAGATGATGGACAGGATGGACAGCCCGGATACCCCGGACAGGACGGACCTGATGGACCTCAGGTACGAGATGCTACTCTTTACACTGCGATGTACGTACAGAGTTGTACTATACAGGGTGTCCCAAAAAAACCCCCCCCTCGGCATTTGGCCGTTTTCCATCCAATCGGGACCAAATTTTTACCAGTGATGGGGACCCATAAAAACTATGTGCAGCCGAATTTTCTAAGCAAAATATTGTAAAACAAAGAAGATATATCAAAATTAAGGTTTATTTTGCTGATTTCACTAGGATTTTGACGGATTTCGGCCTCGAAATGTTTAGCAAAAATGAAGAGGACACTCTTTTCTACCTGTAGAAATTTTTTTATTTTGCGAAAATTAGGTTTAAATTGGGCCTTTTGGTCACTTTTTATTATCGAAATTGCCAGAAACTGACCGAGAACTGACCGTTTTTTGGAAAATTACTCAAAATCCGCATGCTAATCGCGAAAACATAGCCAAAAACGAGTACCAGCGTTTTCCAAAAATCAGTTTTTTAGCGATAACTTTTTGGTTTTACAATATTTTGCTTAGAAAATTTGGCTGCACATAGTTTTTATGGGTCCCGATCACTGGTAAAAATTTGGCCCCGATCCGATAGAAGACGGCCAAATGCCGAGGGGGGTTTTTTTTTGGGACACCCTGTATACTAGGCGGCGTAAAGCCAGCTCAGCTACGTTACGCTAACCAAATTGACTACTACGTACCGAATTGTACTGTAGGTTAGGAGCTGTAAGGGTATTTTAGCTACGTTACGCTACACCTTACAATATACTGTACTAATAAGTACTGAAATGTACTGAAGGTTAGGGGCTGTAAGGGTATTCGAGCTACGTTATGATACTATTTACGATGGGCGACGGACTACAACAGCCTATTAAACTATACCATTTTCAGGCCACCCCCGCCCCTCAGCCCGACTGGTGCTTCGACTGCCCCGAAGGCCCGGCTGGACCCGCCGGAAACGCCGGACCCAAGGGACCCTCTGGAAACAACGGTAAGTGAGAAGCGTAGAATTACATAGCGTAATCGGTTCCCTTTCTTTCGAGTCTGAAAAGCTTAAAAACATTGCGCTCGCATTTTAGTTAGCACTACCGGGACGTTAAATGGCGTAATCAGTTTCCTACCCTTCAAAAACTCTTGTTAACTAGCACGGATTAACGTGGAGTAATAGGCTACCGAAACTTTAAAATACCTTTAAATCGGCTGAAATTTATATAGAGAAATTCCCACACCGTTGGCAATTTTTCCTTAAAAATCGCTATAAAAAATCGTTCCGACTAATTATACAGAATTTGAATCGCGAAGTCCCAAAAACGCTTTTTTTTTTCAGGACAACCCGGCCAGTCCGGCCAGCCCGGCAACCCCGGCGGCAAGGGACAGCCCGGACCCCAGGGACAGCCCGGCCAGAACGGTCAGCCCGGAAACCGTGGCCAGCCCGGCCAGCCCGGTCGCATCAACGAGGTCCCCGGCCCCAACGGACCCCCCGGCCAGCCCGGATCCCAGGGACAACCCGGACCCAACGGACCCCCCGGCCAGAACGGAAACCCCGGACAGGACGGCCAGCAAGGACCCCAGGGAGATATGGGCAACAACGGACAGCCCGGCAACCCCGGACCCGACGGAAACCCCGGCCAGGATGGAGCCGTCGGCCCATCCGGTGGATGCGACCACTGCCCACCCCCGCGAACTGCCCCTGGCTATTAGAAAGCAACAGCTTCGTCTACGCTTTGAAGATGTACTACACCAGGAAGCAGGATTCCTATCTGCACATTGTGTTTTTCGTTCTTGTACAGGTCGGATACTCAATAAATTATGCTCAGTGAGGTGGATTACGCGGGATATAAGCAAGAACAACACATTACAGAGCAGAAAATAAATAGAGCGCTACGTAGCGACCACGTTAGGATCCGCTACCCCTCATGAAACTGTGCGCTCGTTGCAATAGCAAATCAACGCTGAGAAATAGCTTAAAAGGTCCAAAATTCGAGAGGGGTAGTGGAGCCTAACGTAGTCCTAGCCGAAACATGACAACTCAGACAATAAAGTTATTCATGTTCTGTGTGTTTTATTACGCCAAGGGGATCCACGCTCGAAAAAAGCTCGCCAATGGCGTATACACGGCGAAATCTCGGTTTTTCGACGTTTTACTTGAATAGAATACCCTCTAAAGCCCCAAAAATTGATTGATCGGGTCTGTGAAAAACTATTAGTGATCCTGGCTTAATTTGTGCGTAGCAACGATAAGAAAACCAACAATGACTGGTAGCCAGACGAGTCTAAACGCTCATTTTCACCAAATTCGCTAGCGTCAAAGTCTTGAAAGTATTTCCGGTACTATTGAAGTTGGGGGGGCAAAATTTTTTAGGTCATTTTTAGGCTACTTGATCAGTTTTTCGTGGCTAATCCAGCGCAATACTCAACTCCTAAGCTAAGCTAAGCCGAAGCACAGTTAAATTGAGCTTGAACAAAGCTAAGTCGCAGCCAAAAGCAGTGATGCTGTGACGAAGCCAAGCTTAGGGCCAGGTACTAAGGTTTAGGCTAAGCATAGGCCTAAGCCTAGGTTAAACTAGTTCTAAGCCTAGCCTAAGTTAAGCTTAAGCCTAAGCTAAAGCCTAAGCCAAGCCAATACTAAGCTAAGCTAAGCCTAAGCCAGAGAAAAGCTGACCAATTAGCCCAAAAATGACCCGAAAAAAATTTTGCCCCCCAACTTCAATAGTACCGTATTCCCTAATCTTCAAAACGGTTCTATCGAATGTCTTGTCTGGTTTTCTCGAACTTTTCCCTTTTATGGAGCGCGAATTTGAGCCCATTGAACCGAAGAAGCATCACTCGGGGTATCGACTACGCGGGCACGCTATAGCCATTGTTACTGGGTGAACTCAGCGGGGCGCAGACTTGTCGGGTTGTATTAGGTGACTAATTGATTAGCAAAAATAGTATAAAACTGCTAGAGAAACTGGTTTAAATTGAACGTAAAACTTTAGAAAATTAGGGGCTGTTGTCCTGAAGAGATCGGCGGAAATTTGGCCGGAATTGATGTTACGGAAGCGATTTTTAAGTGACTTAAGATTTACTTCTATTTTTCTCATTTTAAGTTCAATATAGCTACTCTAAGACTACCTTAAATTGTCCAAAAACCCCTGGGAAAATTAGTCAGTAGTGTATTACGGTATGCTCGAAAATTTAGCGCGGTCTCATTTACCAGCGATTTTTTTGTTCACTTTCTAGTATTTTTTTATTTTATGGCTTATAATTATTATTGTAGCTACAATAAACCTTCAATAAAGACTTATTTTAGTATGGACCTGGGCCGGTTGACGAAAAATGTGTCCAACATCTTCAACAGCGTCACCGCCTCGGCCCAGGAGGACTACGATCCGATGGTCGGCAAGCAGCTGACCGCCAACAACGTCAGATACACGATAAGGAAGAAGATTGGAGCAGGTTGGTTGTAGAAAATGGATTCATTTAATAGTCACGTTTTTAGGCGGTTTTGCTGACGTCTACTCGGCTCAAGACGCCACCGGAAATTGGTTTGCCATCAAGATCCTGAGAGCTCACGATGCTGAGGCGCAAGAATCGGCCCGGATAGAGATTGCGCTTTGTCAGAAGGTAGTTTTAAAGTACAGAAACTTCGAACTTACTGATTTCCAGCTCACCGCCAACCCATCATTCCTAAAATTTGTCCACAGCGGCCAAAAGGACATGGAAAATGGAAGGGGCAAAGAATACACGATAATAACGGAGTTGTGTACAGGTTAGAACGTTTGGAAATATCTAAAAGTCGTTATTATCTAGGGGGCAACGTTTTTGAGCTGTTACAATCCGGCAATTTGACGCACGAGCAAATTGTGCGGGTAATCTACGCGGCGGCGAAAGGGATCGCGCACATGCACGAGCTTGGATTTACAAATCGGGATGTGAAGGTAGAATTTAATAACTGACGATGTTAAAAAATAATGAATATTGAAACTTGTTACTTTTTCAGCTCGAAAACCTGCTGATTGATGCGAATGGCCGTGTGAAACTCTGCGATTTTGGAAGCGCAACTCGTGAAACGCATCAGCCCTACGATGGTTGGCCGCTAGCGCAAAGAACAGCCGTGGAAGAATCCGTAATTAATTTTCCAAACGTCTAAATAATACTCTTTCAGTTCCAAAAATACACAACGCCGATGTATCGAGCCCCGGAGATCCTCGAGACGTACAGCAACTATCCGATCGGGAATGCGCTGGATGTTTGGGTGAGTTTTCCGTTTTTTTCTCGTTTTAGCCACATTTTACTTCCGGCTAAAACGGCACTTTTCAGGCACTCGGCTGCGTTTTGTACTACTTGTGCTTCCGTGTCCATCCCTTCGAAGATTCGGCGGTTACACGAATTTGTCGAGTTCAAATTATGCCGCCGCGGGAGGCAAGCGTCGTCCCGAACGAGCTGTTCAAAGGATTGATAAGTAAGTTTTTGAGGTAAAATCGACAGCTTGGAAAATCTTGGTGTTTTCGATAGCCCTAGTAGCAAAAAAATTTCTTGGCTGACTTATTCTTGCTTGTTCATAGAAATCTAGGTTATTTTTATAGTGTTTGTAGTCATTTTCGATGATAAAGGTTATCAAAATTTCTCAAAAAAATTCGGATTTCTTTGCTATTTTCGAGCGTACTTTTTACATCGTTTTTTAATTTCAAGCCCATTTTTCAGTGCCATGCCTCAACCCCGATCCCCGGCAACGCCCAACAGCCCAAGATTTCGTCCAACAAATCGCCACCTTTGCCAAGGCGCTGCAAGTCAATCCGGAGGGGCCGGTAGCGGCAGCGAAGAAGCTTGATGTAAAAAATTTACTAACGGCTTCATCGTTATTTTTAGCGTCCCGTTTCTCCAAATCCACCACAACGATCTGCCGCCAATGCCCCGCCACGGCCACCACCCGCTACTCAAAGTCGGCCGACTGAGGTTTGGGCTTTTAAAATGAAATTAATTAAATTGTATGAAGAATACTAATAAAGAGGTTTTTTAGTGATAGTCGAATTTTCGCATGGGATTATGAGTCTCTTGTGCAGAATTTTGCGCTAATTTGGAGTGTGGAATAGATCCAAAATGACCAAATTCTTTTTGCTTTTTTCGCACGGAAATGTTCCATTACTTTTATTCTGGTCGTTTCACAGGGTTTGAACCCGCTTTTCGTAATCAGCGCAAAATTCTGCAGAAGATAGGTGTAATCCCGATTGGAAACGCAATTTTCTCTAAAAAACATCTAGCAAGTACCAAATTTTCTTCCAGGAATCCGCTTCCGCCATGATCGGCGCGCTGAAGGGCAGCGGCATGTCGTTGTTCAAGAATTTCAAGGAGAAAACGGCTGCCGTGGTGTCGACAGTGCAGGTTTGGAATAACCCGTATCACTCGTAATTTCCCGATTTACAGAGCACCTACGGCAGCAAGGGCCCGACGTTCATCTCGGTGACGAAGCGCGTCCATTTGGCCCCGATCCTGGAGGGAGTGCCCGAACCGCTCGCCTACTCTGCCGAGCAATCGCTGAAGGAGGCCATCTGCCAGCGCGGGCACCCATTTTTGATGGTCAACTTGAGCAAGAGGTGAGCGGTAGTTGAACAGCTAGATCTTGTGCAAATTCCTTGTTGTTCCATTTCTCCTCATCCACCTGCTTATCTTATTCAAACAAAACAAACAGAGCTAAACAGCTTGGTCTTGATGCGAATGCCGTCCTTCCCTTTCCGCCTCATCTACCAACCCATTTATTCACACAAAAATCAATGCAAGAACATGGAGAAGAGGGCAAAGGCGACGGCGACGAGGGCGCTGGTGGACGAGCCGGAGGCGGCGGGCGCCGGGCTTTCGTCGGCCTGTTGTCCATTCTGGTCGGGGTCGTCGACAGGCCCGGTCGTCGGGGTGGTGTCAGGCACGTCGACGGTGGTGCCGCCGAACGAGTAGCCGTTGCACAGATCCTCATTCTCGCACCGGCACTTGATCCTGCCCTCTGAAATGGGCGGATGTAGATGGCTTGGATGCAAATTCATGTTGCGGACTCCATCAAGTTCAAGTCGCTCACCCTTGAGGTTCGACTCGGGGATGCACTTGATCGTGCCGCCGGTGTAGTTCTTGGTCTGGATGCAGTTGCGCACGGTTTGCATCTGGCCTTCTAAAAAAATCGTTGAGCTTTTCTGTTAGCGGGGGGGGGCTATCCGGCTTTATACCTATGAATTTTACGTTAAAAAATTTTTTCTAGCTGCATTTGTAATTGCGAAAAAGTGATAAAAATACTTTAGAAAATGATTGAATATTTTTGAAGGTTCAATAGAGAAAAAATGGCATAAAAATCTCCGTCAGTTGTCACCCACCCAACCCGACGTCACCAACAAGTCCACCCACCCGTGTTCTTCCACGCGAGCGTCATGCACGGGGCTGGGCCGCAAGTCGGCACGGTGGCGTCGGGCTGCATGCACTTGGCGTGGTACTTCAGGTCGGCGCTGGCGATGTCGGTCTGGTTCGGGTCGGCCATGAAGTTCTTGAGGATCTCGGCGCCGTCGAAGGAGGTGCACTGGTAGCACTTCTTGGCCAGGACGACGACAGGGAAGTCGTTGGTGCCGTTAGTGGCTCCAGAAGGGGCAGGGGGAACTGCAGATCCGTCCGTGGTAGCCGGAGGAGCTGCAGATCCGTCCGTGGTAGCCGGAGGAGCTGCAGATCCATCCGTGGGAGCAGGAGGAGCTGCAGATCCGTCCGTGGGAGCCGGAGGAGCTACAGTTCCGTCCGAAGGAGCTGGGGGAGCATCAGATCCAGCCGGTGGGACTGACGGAGCATCAGAGCCGTCCGGAGGGGCAGGAGAAGTTGAATCTAAAAGCAGAAATTAGCATATCAAAACCCCGAAAAATTTGCATAAGGGTCACCCCAGGTGCGGCCGGGACACCTCAAAATTAGCATACCAAAAAACCCCAAAAAAATTTGCATAAACTCACTCTCCTGGGCGAGGTGCGGGTGGAAGAAGAGAGCAGTCAGGAGGAGCACCAGATTGATCGACGTCATGGTAGACAAATAATGGACTTTCTGGGTTTCCGGGCTGCGATTCGCTGGTGTAGTCCAATTTTTGCACGCAGATTTGGGGCACTTCCGCTTCCGGGTGGCTTCGCGGTCAAATTAGGGATGTAGTGTGTTTTGCGGATGCAAATTTAGGGTTTTAACAGAGGAAATGATGACATATCTCTCTCTCGCTCGCTGTCTCTATCTATATATCTCTCTCTAACTCGCTAATTTTGCTGTTTTTCAGAGCCCTCCGATGCGAATACCAACTGACCCCCTACACGGAGCCGATGAGCCCGCCGTGCAGCAACAACCTGCCGCCCTCCCTTGACACGGTCACCCACCTGGCCGTGGCCATCGGCGAGTACTTGGGCAATGAAAAGCGGGGCGTAGTTGTGTTCTATGGTGTTGAAGGTATATTTTTGGAACTGTCGCCTTAGATCAGTTTCAGAAAACTGCATCCTGCTGGCCACCGTGCTGCTGCTCTACTGCAAGATGTACTCGCGAAGCTATCAGTGCTTTGAGGTGGGTTATATGTATTAAAGTGGATTAAAAATTAAAGTTAAGACGTATGAAAAGATTGACTTTCTCAAATTATTTATAGTAGAAAAAATGTAATGAATTTTTGCGTAAAAACGTGATAGGTTAAAAGGTTAATAGGTAACAATAACCTCAGTTTTTAGGCCATCCGCAGCAACTACCCGCAAGAACTTCCCCACCTCCCGCCCAGCTACCACGCCATCCTCGACACGATCGCCCTGGTGGCAAATCGTGATCCGGCGGAAATTGTACAGGTTTTAAACTCCCTTGTTTTTATCTTTTTCGTTTTAGAAACTAAATACCCGGGTCGTCTCCCTGAAGTCGTTGTCGCTGAGCCCGATCCCGGCGATGAACCGCTCCCAAACCGGCTGCCGGCCCGTCGTCGAGGTGTTCAACGCCGGGAAGAAGATCTACGCGACGGCTCAGCAGTACGAGGATGCTGGGTTCGTTTTGATGTCATTTTTCTGACGTGTTTTTTTAGCGAATGCCTCGTCGATCAAGGCTACGCCAAGCTGGAGCTGCGCGGGATGCTGGTGAACGACGCCGTCACCGTGGTGGTCAGCCACGCTCGCCACTCGTCGATGCACGGGACGATGTCGTTGGTGGGTAGAACGTCACAGTCTATGTTTACGGTTTTTTTACGTCTTTGCTTGTTTTTAACCGCCCTATCTGTTCAAAAACGTGATGAAAAATGACGAAATTGCCGATTTCAATATTTTGAAGGAAAGCGTTTAAGCATGGTTTTATGGCTTTTTGGCAATTTTCTTTATATGATAATTTTAAAAGCTATTTACATGTTCTATGCCAGGTCCCCATGTTCATCATCCACCTCGAGGTCCGGTTCCTCGACGGCAAGACGGCCAGCATTGCCCTCCCCAAGGGCCAACTCGATGTACATAAAGACGCCCTCGAGCACATTGACGAGAATTTCAAGTATAACCTATTTTTTTAATGTAATTTTCTTCTATTTATTTTTAGAGCCACCCTGCTCTTCGACTACAAGTCGGAGAACACCAACAAGTTGCCGGCGGCGCTAAACTACGAGGCGCAGCTCGCCAAACCGACGCTGCTCTTCTTTGACAACAAGGAATATGGTATGTAAATTGTGTTTTTAATTCGCTTATACTTTTTAGAAACCTTCTACCAAATGTGCGACCGTTCGTCTACTGAATTACCGGATTTCCCATCACTGCCGGGTTACGCCTCGATATCTGGCGCCTCGGCGGCACCAAGACGCCCACCCGTGCCAAAAGCTGCCGAGAAAAAGCCTCTGCCGAAGACGGAACAGCCAAAAGGAGAATTCTTTAGGTTGGTTTTCAATTTTTAAATTGTAATCATATTAAAATTACGATAATGAGTATTCATACAAAGTTTATACTTTTGATTGCGAGATGATAATCCTTTTTCAGCTCCCTCTTCGATGGCGCGCCAGCAGCCGCTCCGCAACCCTCGGCTTCTCACATGCCCGATTTCGACTTTGGCGCCGTCGAATCGGCTCCGAAAAAACGTGTTGATGACGCCGAGATGCACGAGAGGATGGCCGGGATACGAGTCGGGGGTGTAAGTTGATTTTCACCTCGTATTTACAACATTTTTGGTGCTTGCAGTTTATCGGAGGCGGTAGACCATTTTTGCCTGATTTTATGGATGGCCCATGATGACCATTTCGCGGGATTTGATATTTTACCATTTCAACTCCTTTAAGGTGTACCCGGTTTCTGACGAAGTGTGAAAACCTCATTAAAAACGTTAAAATTGGTAGTTTTTGATAAAAAATCGCATAAAAGTAGTGCAAAAATATGGGGAGTTTTCCAAATTTTGAAAAACCGTAGGCGCCGTGGTATATATTTTATCTTTTTCTAGGATCCGGAAGACGAGACCCCAATCTTCCACGACGAAACTTACGCGCCGATGCCTGGCCCGGCAAAAGCAGCCGATGATTTCGATTTGCTCGGGTTGAGTGGTGAGTTTTAAATTTTAAGCTTTTAAAAAGTCTTTGTTAAGCTTTATCTTATGTTTCGCTCCTGAAAACCAAACTTTTTACGCTGTGTTGGCGGCTCTTTTCTCAAATTTTTCAAAATGCATTAATTCCAGACCACAACGGCGGCGTCGCAGCATCATCAAAGCCCAGCACATCTCCGGCAAACACGAACCCGTTCGATCCATTTGGTGATTTGCTGGGAGGGGGAGCAGGTCTGTTCATTTTAGTTAAATTTTACATGGTTTTTTCAGCAGCCCCCAGCCATTCTCAACCTCAGATGACGTCCGGGAAGACCGATTTGCTAGATTGGGGCCCGGCAGGTTTGTCGTTTTTAATTTATTAAGTTTTTTGTAATTTTTGTATTATTTCAATTTATCAGGTCAAAAAGTCGGTAAACTTTGAATATCTAAAAACTTCTTTTAGCCCAACCCACCCAGCCAATCCATCGCAACTCGTCGGCGCCGGCGTTCAAGCCCCAGCCCGCCGCCTTCGACCCGTTCGCCGACTTCATGGCTTCATCAACGAGCAAGCCGGCTTCGGGCCCGAATTCTGGACGAAACACCCCGTCTACACAACAACAGCAGCAACCGCAAGCAGCACGGCCCAACTACTCGCGGTCGGCTTTTGAAGACCTGAACGCCAAGCCGAAAGCGAAGCCGGGCGCGGCTAATTTTGACGACTTGTTATCAGGTAATTTTAGTCTTTTAGTTTAAGTTCAAAACGAAGTTGTATTTTTATTGTAAAAAAATTTCCTTGTTGTTGAATTTTCGTTTTTTTTTGCTTCACATTATACAAAAAGGAACGATAATGTTTAAAAAAATTACCTTTTTTCTAGGGCACAACTTCACCTCCTCAGTCGCCAACAAAAACCGAACGATGGGCGATATGAAGAAAGAGGTGGAAAACCTCAGTATGGACCCGGTTTCGATAAAGGTAATTTTTTTAATGGTTGAAAAGTTAATTACTTTTTTAGATTCGCGACTGGACCTCCGGCAAACAGGGCAACATCCGCGCGCTGTTGTGCAGCCTGAACGATGTGCTCTGGGAGGGCGCCTCGAGATGGGACCAACCGTCGATGGGCATGCTTTTTGAGGCGAATGACGTGAAGAAGCAGTACCGCAAGGCGTGCCTTGTTGTTCATCCTGACAAACAGACAGGTGAGAGGCTGTTTCGGAGCTTTGGTAATATCGGGGGAGGTTCAGGGGTTATTTTTTTCGTCCTATAGTTTTTGATAACCCTCGTAATGTAATAAAAAGCATTTTAATGGCGTCTTTGGCTTAATTTAGCTATATTTCAGGTGGAAAAACGGTTTAAAAGACATTAAAAACTGTCTAAAAATCCGAAAGTTGTCCAAAAAATGGCTGAAAATTTGTAGTTTTGTACCTTTAGAAATAGCAAAGTTATACTTGCGTTATCTATTGAAAAAATAGCGATTTTCTCTTTTCATTTCAACTTTTTAAACGTTTTAATTCAGGCCAACCCCACCACGAACTCGCCAAAGCCATCTTCACCGAGCTGAACAAGGGCTGGAAGGCGTTCGAGCAAGCGGAAGCCCAATAGGCCCAATACGAATTCGTTTTTCTTATTGCATTTTTTTTGCCACGACTGTACCCTTGTTTCTGACGTAACCAAAGCTTTTTTTCTAGGGTTTTATGAGATTTTTGCTTTTTGGCATAGTATTTTTGTATCATTTTTTTGCTCTCTTTACCGCCGTCATTCCGAATCCCCCATTTCGTCTCTTTCGCTGCGATATCTGCCCCGCCCAGTCGACATTAATTTATTGAATCTAGCCATTTTTGTGTGATAATTGCCCCAGTTTTGTTTTCTCGCGCCTCGCACCTGTAGCACCTTCTAGTGGTTGTGAATTTTAAAGAGTATGGATAAAGACTTTTTTTTTTGGTGAAAATGAAGGAAATGGCACGGCTATAAGTTCGATATGTTGCCGAAGTGGCGTCCGAAGTTTGTGGAAGGCATACAGACTCGGATAGAGCTTTCTAAACCATCTAATAGAATCGATTTTTATTTGAAATGCGCCCGGAAAGGGTCACTCGCTGTTTTAGAAACCTTTCCCTATTTTAGGATTCTTTTTATCTTGACAAAGACGAAGTAGGACAAAGGTTGGCGTTCTTTTTATCGCCTCGACACGCGAGTTTCCTGTTTTTTTTAAATTCGACGCTAAAAATTAATCGAATTTTTGCTACTGTAAAAAAAACTAATATATAAGGTTTACTTCGCTGGTGTCGTGGCAAAGCTTTTCCATATTTCGAAAAGGTTTTTCTCTTTGGTTTATCGCCTGTAAAGGCGATAAAGCTTGAACTAACAAGGGAAGTGCACGACCGGCCCACGAGAAATCGACACGAGATATAGTGGATCTGATAGAATCGGCCACGGAGATTCCTAATCTGTAATTAGAATCTGCTAAATAAAACGGAGAAAAAAGTTATGAGGCTTCAAAGTTGGCCAAATCGCCAAAAACGGTACCTTCAGGGACCCGTAAAAACCGGGGGAACGAAATTCAGGAGAAAAGAATTAGTGCATCTTGTTCAGCGGAAAAAGCGCTTTCGAATGAGCTGTAATATGTACCATTTGCAAACAATTCACTGAAAAAAGTTTTTTTTGGATTCACGGGCAAGGGTATGGCCTGTCAAGTTCATAGAAGAGATTTCTGCAAAATCATCGTAAACTTGAAGTAAGATAGCTCATTCGAAAGAGCTTTTTCTGCTGAACAAGATGCACTAATGAGTTGTGGCAAATTTCCATTCCCCGGGGTTTTACAGGCCCATAAAAGTTCGATTTTGGGCGATTTTGCCAAATTTGAAGCTTCATAACTTTTTTCTCCGTTTTATTTAGCAAATTCTGATTACAGATTCGGAATCCCCGTGCCCGATTCTATCAGATCCACTATGTCTCGTGTCGATTTCTCGTGGGCCGGTCGTGCACTTCCCTTGTAAGCGCAAAGCTATACGCTCTAAAGATGTCCTGTCTTTTTAAGGCCATAATTAAAACTAGCATAATGAGGGTGTCTTTTTGTCGAGTGTGTTTTTGCAGGTTTCTTGAGCGTTACAAAGACGAAAACTGGCCGGCCGGTAGCCCACCGTAACAAAGCGAACGCACGAGGCCTCACGACGTAGGGAGGCGCCAGTCGAAAGGCTTCCCTAATTTTTCGCTTTTCTTCTTTCTTTGCTTTCTGAAAGGATTTAGATTATTATTACATTAATTAAACCGATTGATTTTCGGTTTTTCGACGTTTTTTTTTGTTTTGCGCAGAGTCTAAAAGCCACCTGTATGGTTTGCTAACTAACTAAAGCCATTAAACCTTTTTCCTAGGGTTTCGTGAAGAAATCGCTGCCGAACTTATGGCGCCGCACGACAGCGACACCGAGGATCGTAAACGCGATCGCGGTACGCGAGATCGTGTTTCCTACGGAGGCGGCGACAGCGAGAGGTACGATTTGAGGAAAATTCAGCCTTTTTTTTTCTTTTAGGCGCCCCTTCAAACGTCTCTATTCAAGTTCTCGGCCTAGCGAAGATATGCCAAAGCGTTACAGATACGAGTGAGAGATACTTCTAAAATGTTTTAACTTTTGTTTAGGCCAGACCCCAACGAATTGCTGAGCGTGCAAGCTTTCGCTTCTTCCGAAAATCTCACGCTTGACGCCGCGGAGTTGCCCGAAAAGTATGCCGACTACAAGGACGAATACTACAAGAAGCAGTACAAGCAATTCTTCGACGCTCACAAGAATGAGGAATGGTTCGTTTTCTGCTTTCCCTTGAAAACACCTCTTTCAGGCTGCAGAATAAATACCATCCACTGAATCTGGCAGCCCGTGAGACAAAGAGAAGGGACGAGATTGCGCGCCGGCTCTACGCGTACAACAAGCTAAAGGAAAGGGGCCACCTAGAGAATCTGAGCCTGAACCCGGAGAATGCGCGCAATATTGTTCGACTGCTAAATGCAGGTTTGTCAGTTTTAGCTATTTTAAAGCATTTTTCTAGTGGTGGTTCTCCTCGACGGCGGCGACGAGGAGAAGATGGAGCGCGCCTTGAAGATGGAAATCTGCGCGGGCGCTGTGCGTGATTTAATCAATGTTGGAGTGGTAAGAGAGTAAGACAACTGTAATTATTGTTTCAGGAACTGCCGGAGGAGGCTGACAAGGTGCCCGAGCATTCGCTGTTGACCCGGCGCGGCGGCGTCATGATTCGTTGCATCCCGCCCGAGGCGACTGATGCCGAGATCAGCGAGGCGAGAAATATCTAATAATCATTGTAAGGAAATTATTTTAGGCCCTGCAGCGTTACCCGGGCTTCGAATGCCTGCACGTCTTCCCTGCATACCCAGAGGGCGGCTGGATGCGCAAGGCTATGGCGGTTTTCCGGGATAACGTTGATTTGCGGGAGTTGTGCGTGGGAATCAATGGAATTAGGGTATTCGTTTTTTGTAGTCAATAAGTTCTTTTCTTTAGGTTAAAGGATCCAACCTGGTCGCTTATCTACACGCGGGCAGTAGCCAACGCGTCCGTATCTCGAACCCGTTGATCAACCACAAGTCCGTCGCCCTTTCCTTGCTTCATAAGGCCGTTAAGGTAATTTTAAGTTTGGCTTTTTCGTACCTAAAATTTGGTGTTTTTTTCAGATCTTGGCCGTCCTCGACAAGCGCGCTGGTCAGTACATAGATGAAGCCGGTGAACAAAACCAGCACGAGATCACGAAGGACATTGCCATCCGCGTCGATTACGTCTCCACATCTACCAATCCGCTAATCGTCAAGGCTCGCGGCATCTTGCCGGGTGATTTGGATGATGATCCATCACTAAGTTTGTCTATTCGAAAAGCTAAAACCTCGTTTCTAGCACATCCCGACCGAGTTCCCGATTCCGCTGATGTCATTTTCAAGCGTGACGAGCGAGTCCTAAATATGCTTGACGAGGTTGTTTGGCTTGTTTTACGATAGGTATTTCCTGATTTAGATTGCCTTCTACATGCGCGTCGTCTACTCGTTCAATTTGCTCAACTACGAGATGTTCACAGAAGAAGAAACGCTGCCTAACAAGTATCTTTAAAGCTTTTTCGTCATTACTTGGTTTAGATGCGAAGTATTCCACATCCGAGGCCAAGACATCAAAGCCGTAGATGACGACAAGCTGCCCATGTTCAAGAAGGGGGAGCTGAGGGTATAGTTAATTTTATGAAGCAAAATTACCCAATTTTCAGGCTTTTGAAAATGAGCTCGAGCAGAAATTGGGGCCCTTCTACACGGCTCGGTTGGTGCCCGACACGCAGCTGGCCGCCTTGGGATTGTTGGACCTTGAAAGGTAGGGTTTTTCGAGAAAATCAAATCGTTTCTGTTCAGCGCCGCTGAGGAGTTCATCCAAGCCAACACCGTGCAGCTCAGTGAGGGCAAGTGGCTTTGTCCATTGTCGGGCAAGAAATTCAAGGTGATTTTTCGTAGTAGTTTCTGGCAAACTTTTTCTTTCAGGGACTCGAGTTCATCCGCAAGCACATCACCAGCAAGCACATGGACGCGGTGGAAGCTTCCAAGGCTGAGGTATACAAGCCTAGAAATTCTAATGTCTGTGAAAAAACCATATTACCAAAAATCCTGTTTTTAAAAATCGGGATCTGGACAAATCAGCGTCCAGCTACGAACAGAGAATCAGGAGAGAGAACATTGTGACTTCCGAAAAAAACGCGATTTTCGAGATATAACTTTTTGAAAAATTGAATTCCGACTTCCGGAAAAGATGCAAAGAATTTGAGGCGACCGTTGTTTTCTAGGGCGCCTTCTTCAACAACTATCTACGCGACGCCGATCGGCCGTGGATCAACGTCAGCAAGCCGGCTCCCGACAGGCGCTCCTACGAGCCGCGTGGTATTTAATTTTAATAAAACCCTAATTTCTTGCTTTAGAACCACGTTATCCGGTTCGTGAACGTTTTGAGAGGGAAGAGCACCCGCCGAGTGCCAAGAGGTAAACCCCCCTATTTTTGATGAATTCTCGCTTAGGACCTTCCCCGGCAAGCGCCAGCCCTACGTCTACAAGGACCTCGACGCCGTCGACGACAACGTGGCGACCATCTTCTAAAAAAACCCCGCCACGCCGTCCAATCGCAATTTATTTTGTTTGTAATGACGTGACACTGTCTTTGTTCTAGCATAGCTTCATGCTCATTATTTCTGCTCGGAAAATAAAAAGTTGTTATTGTAAGGGAAATGAATTGAAATTGCATTTGGTAAAGATTTACACCCACACCTATCCGAGGTTGAACGTGAAGGTTGCAGAAAGTTAGATTTTGTTGTAAATAGGTTAGAATATTTTTATTAGGTTCGTCTGTCGTTCGTTCGGAATCTACGAGTTGGCTGAAACTTTTTGCGACCTTGGTCCTCTTTTGTTACTTTCAATTGCAGCTGCAAAGTGGTATTTTCAAGGTGAAAGAGTGATATCAAAGACTTGCTAGATCCAGTCAGTCCAGTACTGACAGGATCAAAAGAAAACCAAAAAACTAAACAAACTAAGAGGAATCCGCCTTGTCATCCTTACACCTCATTTGAGTTTCATTTTTCTGACCATCTTCTATTCCATTTTTTAACGAATAGCTTCAGGATAATGACCGATAGATGGAAGCGCGCGGTGAAGAAAGCGGTAGCGCACCTCGACCCGGAACGACTGATTCGCAACGTCGCCAACGCGTTCAGCACCGCCGCGTCACCCCAAGCCCACCCGACCGCCGAAGTTGGGCAACAACTCCTCGCCGGTAACACGAAATACGTGCTGAAGAAGAAGATTGGCATGGGTAATTCGTTCCTTATCTTGAGCTCTTTTTCAAATTTAGGCGGGTATGCGGACGTCTTCTTGGCCAAAGATTCGGCCGGGAAATCGTTCGCCGTGAAGCTGATCAAGGCCTACGACCTGGAGGCGGAAGACGCGACGATGGTCGAGATGATGCTTTGTCAAAGGGTTGGTTTTTAATGTGATTTTTTTGTAAATAATTTTACTAGCTGTCCTCCCACCCGTGCATCCCGTCCTTCGTGCACAGCGGCGTGAGGGCGCTTGATCGACAGCCGGGCAAAGAGTGCACGATTATTACGGAGTATTGCGATGGTATATGACCTTTACTAAACTGAAAACTTTCCACTTTTAGGCGGTGATATCGCCGAATTTCTCAAGGTCAACCACCTCACCTACGAGCAAATAATTCGGATCATCTACGCGGTCACGAACGCTGTTGCTCACATGCACTCGCTCGGCTTTACTCATCGAGATGTGAAGGTTTGACTGGGAAACCTCAAAATTATAAGTTTTTTTTCAGCCTGAAAATCTGCTGATCGACGCTCAAGGGAGGGTGAAACTCTGCGACTTTGGTAGCGCCACCCGCGAATCTCATCAACCCTACGACGGAATGCCGGCCGCAGAACGGGTGGCGATCCAGGAAAAGGTTTATTGCATTTTTCCGTTCTTATATAGATTTGTTTCAGTTCCAAAAATACACCACGCCGATGTATCGCCCGCCGGAAGTCCTGGAAACCTACAACAACTATCCGATCGGGAACCCGCTGGATGTCTGGGTAATAAAAAAGCTTAATTTTTTATCAAAATTGAGAAACAAATTTTTTTTTTGCGTGGGATCCATTTTTCTAGTACTATTATTAGCGTAAAAACTACAAAATCGACTTAAAAAACGGAATGTCAACTTTTTGGACGAAAATTTCCGGTTTTCAAAAAAATTCAGTTCCTTATAGCTTGGTTGGCCATTTAAATTTTTGAAAATCGTTTGTCTTGACAATATGCCTAAATTTTTTATCAAACCGAAGATTATCGTAACGTTTAGGCACTCGGATGTGTGCTGTACTCGCTTTGCTTTCGGATACACCCCTTCGAAGACTCGGCGGTTACTCGGATCTGTCGCGTTCAGGTTTTGCCGTCAAGGGAGCCGCTTTGCGCGTACAACGAGGTGTTCAAGGAGTTGATCAGTAAGATTTGGCGCTCTACGAATACTTTCTTTTAGTGCCCTGCCTGGAGGCGGACCCTCGCAAACGACCACTAGCCCAGGAATTTGCCGAGCGACTGGCCAACTTTGCGCAGGCTCTAAATATTGAGCCTGAGGGCTCGGTGATCATGACGTGTACGGAAAAAGTGGTGAGTCTTGGCTAGTGTTTCTTACTAATAAAATCTTCTAGAAATCGGCTTCTCCGGTAAAAATGCGAAAAGCTGCCACGCTACCGCCTGGCCAGAGCATCGAAAAAGTCGTTGAGGTGCGTAGCTTGCGCAAATTTCGACAATTTTTTCAGCACAAACCAGCCACCTCGCAGAACGGCTTCAAGTCGCGCGGCATGACGTTTTTACGTGGTATTAAAGGGAAGACGGCTACAATGCTACGGAAATCGAAGTAAGCTCCTTTTGCTTTGAATTTCTCTACTGTCTTTTAGTGCCCATGAGGGGTTGCTGCCGGCCGATAGCCCTGCGAAAACCACGGTTCCCATACTCACTGAATTTGACGTTGAGCACGAGCTCGTCTCGGACCAGGAGTTGCGGGCTTTCGGAGGTGAGAGGGTGTCAAGAACTTTTGCACGTATTAATTTTGATTTTCTACTCAGAACGACGGAATTTTCGAAATTGATAAACGTATCGGATTTTTGAAATGTCATATTGTCGAATTTAATATCATAAACGCAACAACTACGAGAAACTCGCTCAAATTCTATGCAAAGAATTTCCACATTTTAAAACTCGCCATTAATTTGAGGTTTTATTTAACAATTTTAGTAGTACCTACGTCGCCGCTGACCACCGACTTCGAGCCGATCACCGCCTTCATCACCTCATCGGCAAGCAGTTCAGTGGATGTGCCGAGCACCGAGAGCGTCGTTGCGCAACAAGTCTCCACCGAGAAGCTCCAAAAGGCAGTACCTCTCCCGTTGCCGTCAGACTTTGTCGAGTCGAAGCCCGAGCTGAAGCCAAAATCCATCCCTGCAGCTAGCTTTGATGGGTTGTCGACAGGTTTTGTGAATTTTACAAATTTTACAGAAAATTTAGATCCCGATTTTACGGTGTCGTCGCTGCAAATGAACCCTCCGCCACCGGAATCTGTTTATGTCAAGGAAAACACCAAGCAGAAGCTGACAAATTTTCAGGCCTGGGACGGTGCTCATCTACAGCCCAGCGCCAGCCCGTCGGCCTTTAGCCACGTTTCTTCACATTGTGAGATCTTTTTTCTACAAATTTTAAGTGACATTTAGGCGAAAACCTGGCGTCCTCATCCACGAGCGGCAGCCAACACTGGGGCAGCACCAAGAACGAGACCTACAAGAAATTCAGCGAGCCGTGGCCTAAAATTGATCGTCCCGTCGTGGAACCGGCCCGGCCGAAAATGAGCTTTGCCGATTTTTTTACAGGTATGGATTTTTATTTTATTTAATTTGGCATAGATTCTTAGCCGATTTCCTACCTTATCCTACCTTATATAATTTTGGCGTGTATCTTTGTGGGTGTGTGTGTGTGGATGTCAGTTTCGAGTCCCGATTTGAGGGCCTTCCCGTGCATAAAATGCCCCAATTCTCCGTCACCTGGGGAAATCGACCCTTCTGTTTCCAATGGCGCTTTCAGAATTTTGATAAAATACAAGTTTACAAAGTTAAAGCCGGTTTTATTAATTTTTGGGGGTCCCTGAGGGCTAATTTGCATAATGCGGAAAAATACAAATTTCCTCATTCTTGCCAGTTGCACTCGCGTGTTTGGCCGGTGGGGGGGGAAGGGGTCCGAAGGACCCGAGCTATCGGGAAGTCAAATTTTTCATGCAAAGGCGCATTCCAGCGCCCAAGGCCCGCGAAGGGGTTTGGGGCTGGTTGTTCAATAATTTAGTTTTCAAAACGGTTTTTTTTGGGGTTTCGTAACTTTATTACCTTTTTTCATACCCCATGATTGGTTTTAATCTTGTAAATCTATACAATCCTATTAGCTCGACCATGCTTTTTGCAGTTGGTCACCAAAAACGGGCGATAAAAACTGCATACACCTTTTCGAAAATTATTTTTATAGAAAGCCACTTTTTCGAAAATCAGAATTTTGAAAAATTTGCGCTGAGCTAGGCAGGAAATGGTCGCAAAGAATCCTACTATACAGGGTGTCCCAAAAAAAACGACCCATCTGGCATTTCGCCGTGTTACATCCAATCGGCCCCAAATTTGGACCAGAGGTGCATCAGACCCTAAATAACAACAATCCTGACTTATAGCCCGGTAGCTACAGTCATTCTCGAGTTATCGCAAAAACAAACTTTATTTTCCATTTTTTTCATAGGGTTTTCGTGGAATTAGACCCCCTAAACATTAAGTGAAAATGATCCGGTAGGCCTTCTTTACCGTAAGAAATTTTTTCCGGAGTAAAATTAATTAAATAAGCTTCGATTTAAGCGGTTTTTACAACGCAAAACTACCCCGGTTCTTAAGCGAAATTAGGGATTCGCAGCCGGAAGTCGATGCAAATCGATGCAAAGTCCAAAAAGATAGCCGAAAAAACTGTTCAGAATTCCGGGAAAAACAGTATTTTCGTTATAACTTTAAAACTACTGTAGCTATGGGGCTATAACTCAGGATTGTTGTTATTTAGGGTCTGATACACCTCTGTTCCAAATATGGGACCGATTGGAGGTAACCCGGCAAAATGCCAGATGGGTCGTTTTTTTTGGGACACCCTGTATATAAAAAAAAATAGTGTTTGTGTGTGTGTGTGCATTTGCATGCAACTTCCGTCATTATGTTCCAGTCGTATCTCAAGAAGGAGAGTAGTTAGGGGAATGTATGATACGTCATTAGATGCGTAATGGGCTGGAGATGACTGCACGCATATAAAATTTATCAAAATGGCTTATTTTCGACATTAAATTTTAGTTTTTGTTCAAAAATCCGAGACCCTCTTTGTTAGGAATCAATTAGCATACACCGGAAGTGGGGAGAGCCTATATAAAGGAGCAGAGAACGCATTTTTCATTTTTTTTTGCATGGGTCGGACCGAATTATGCAAAGTGTACACTTTCATTGGTCCAGAACAGGGCCAGGGTTGAAAAGTCGCGAAGCGGCTTTTCAACCCTGGTATGAAATAGCAAAGCAAACTTTTCGAAAATTCCGATTTTCGATCAAGTGATTTTGAAAATATGGATTTTCGAAAAATGATTTTTGAAATATGACTTTCGTAAAAAATTACTTACGAAAAAATGGTGGGCCTTCTCGGAACGGCATTTTATATGGTCACTTTATGGTTACAATTTTTAGATGACAAGTCCACTGACTCCGTGCCGAACAAGCCGAAAGCTATGGCTGATATCAGGAACGTGCTGGACCACCGGAATCCGACTCTTATTCACAAGCCGTCCTTTGAAGCCGCAAAGCCCAAGAAGAGCACGGCCACCTTTGACGACCTGTTGGCAGGTATTTTAGGGTTTTATGCAAGCTAGAAAACCGCTTAGCGCAAGGCTACGATTTCGCCAGCAACAAGCGCAAGAAGACGCTCGCCGAGGGGATGAAGGAGGCCGAGAACCGGAATTTGGACCCGACGACGATTAAAGTAGATTTTACCTTTTATTGCATCAAAAACTGCCTCAGATTCGCGACTGGACCTCCGGTAAACAGGGCAACATCCGCGCGATGTTGTGCAGCCTGAACGACGTGCTCTGGGAGGGCGCCTCGAAATGGGACCAGCCGACGATGAGCGACATCTTCGACCCGCACGACGTGAAGAAGCACTACCGGAAGGCGTGTCTGATTTTTCACCCTGACAAGCAGATCGGTTGGTTTTTTTTTGCGAAATTTTTGATACGATTAATTTGTGTAATCCTGATTTCCAGGCAAACCTCACCACGGGCTCGCCACAGCCATCTTCACGGAGCTGAACATCGGCTGGAAGGCGTTTGAAGCGACGACGATCATCACCTCGCCTTAATCTTGAAACAAAACTTGGAAATTTTTGGGCTTAGGCCGATAGCCTTTTGCGACTAACTCCCACTTTCACTTGTCATTTTTCGTTGTGACGCCCTGTGCTTCAGCCGACTTTACCGCGCCTTAAACTGGCCGTTTTTAAAATTGTAATTTCCGACCCCTGCCTGCCGTTTTTGGTGCTTTGATTTTTGGACTTGCTGTGTGTGTGTTTGGTACTTGGGCGTTTTTGGCGTCTAGTTGGACGAGTTTAATCGATAAATTACTTCATCTTATTAATTCTGATCGTTAGCGTTTTAGTTGATTCTTGCAGAGAGAATGGTCAAACTGTCATCGAAGCGTATGGTCCCGGAAAATAATGCGCACCGTCGTCGAAGCGTATGGTCCCGGAAAAATCATCGGAAAAATTTTACCGCAGCGTATGCTTCCGGAAAAAAAAGCCGTTCCGTTGCGTTAAAACTTTGCAGAAAAAAGCAAAAAATTGCCTTCACTATTCTGCAAATCGCAAATGCGATTAAAAGGTGGCAATTGAGGAAGCCACCTATGACGGGAACTTTATTTTTTATCATACACTTACTGTACTGGGAGGTCGATTCAGCAACAATTAGCACGAGGCAACTTCTAAAAATCAAAAACATTAGAATTTGACCGGCACCAAAATTTCACAAAAACTCTATGGCGCAAATTAAGCAAAAAAAGTGTAATTGTGAGCAATTACAACGATTTCTAGCGGTTCAAGCCGCTCACAACCACTCAGGAGCTCCTTACAGAGCACAACAAAAAACGTTTTCGCATTTTTTGCTTTTTAAACCCACTTTCAAAGTTTTTTTTGGGATTCTGCTGGAGGGAATACAGAAATTTCAAGAAAACCTGGCGATAAATCGGACCTATGACAAATGTAAGATTCCTGTGGAGTGTAGTGTTGATTTGCAAATCTACTCTATAACTGCCTGCTCCCTCTCTGCCACCGAAACGCCCCCCACCTGGCCCACTCCCCTGGCCTACCCTATATAAGACGGAAGGGCTATTCGTCCACTCGCCGGCGCGCCCTTTAGACTAAATTTGATCGCCTTTGTCCGCTGAATCTTTAGTCTTGATTGGCGTCCCACGGAGCCTCGTTAACCGTTCGAGACGGCGAGCCGCCCGTAGGTCAGATGCTTGCCTCGAAATTCGGTCGAATTGACCACGTAGTTCCAAAATTCTGCCCGCGCCGGCAATTCATGGCCCTCGCTCCTTTGGCCAAGGAAAAAATATCTTTTTGGCCTTTTTGTGGGTGTTCCGTCATTCACCATTCTCGTATTTTGTTATTTTCTGAATGTTGTAACAACAATTATACTAATCCTACTATATATAAAAAAATAGTCTGTGTGCATTTTTCATGCAACTTCCGTCACCGTGTTCCAGTAGTATCTCAAGAAGGGAAGTACTTAGGGGTATGTTCGATACGTCATTAGGTGCGTAATGGGCTGGAGTTGACTGCACACATATTAGATTTTACAAAAAAATGCTGTTTTCGACATTAAAATTAAGTTTTTCATGGAAAATCGAGACACCTCACGTTGTTAGGATCAAATTAGCATGCACCGGAAGTCGCGGTAGCCTATATAAAGTGACGGCGAGAGCATTTTTTTCATTTTTCGTCATCCTAATTCGCGAAAATTATGCAAAGCCAGGAATATCATGGGCGCAGTCGGGGCCAGGGCTGAAAAGTGGCGAAGAGGCTTTTCAACCCTGGTTGATAATTATACCTATAGAACTCCAACTTGTAAGGCCTTGTTTAATTTTTCTGATACACTATAGGAACTTCCATTAGGTTGCAGATACACGAATTTCTCGAGCCGATACGTTATGCGAATCTGTGCAGTTCTTTCAATTTTTTTTGTATGACCTTTCCGGAAATGATAGCTCGATTCTTTTTCGTGCTTACGCTTTTTAACTTTATAGCACGCAATTTTTCGCAAGACGAATAAACTTTTATTCATTGCCTTTTCTTTCGAATTTCCCCGCTTTTAAAATAATACAGTCGCGTTCACCGATAGCTCTGTTATATCACTTCTGGTTTCGAAATATTTTTGGTACTTTTACTATCACGATTATTTAATTTATATCTACTTCTATAATTTTGTTAAGGTTTTTAAATCAGGGTCTTCACAGGGTTTCCGCTTTTTTTCTGTCGCTGTTGTTATGCACTTGTATTTTTCCTGTTGCTCATTTAGGGCTTTCAGCCCTAATCTGCGTTTTAATTTTTTTAATTATATGGCAATTTATTAACCAAACTCAAGCCCCACCCCCAACCCATCCAGACCCCTCGTAGTCGTACTCCTCGAATTGGTAGTCATGATGAAAACCACCGGCCAGGGATTCGTTCGCGGATTCCTTTAGCGCCTTTCGGATCTTCTCCTCTAGATCCCACGTCGGCCGGAAGTCTTTGTCAATTGATTCGCGGACTGGGTGGAGGGCGATGGCCAGTTCGATTAGTTGACGCACCTAAAACACGAATTTCACGGGAATTTGATTTACGCGATTTACAATTGACTATTTGATTTAGTAATTTACGTTCTGGTAAGAGTTTACTTTACCCCCCCCCCCCACCCCCACACAGCCGAAGGGTCTCAAAGTTTTCGGTATTTTCGCTTATCTTGTCGAGATTTTTGCCACGCCATTCAATAGAGCGTCGAAAAATATACTAAGAGTTTTAATTTGAGCCTACAATAATGTAAAATAAAAAAGTTATAGCCAAAACCTTCCGGCTAGGGGGGGGGGGGTAAAGTAAACCGTAGCCTGCGTTCTTTTTTTTTGACGAGTGTCACTTACTTGTGGTAGCCTGGCGTCGAGTACATACACCGCTCTTCCTATCTCTTCCGGCCAAAAGAGCTTATTCTGGTCTTCGACGTACAGATGGCGTAGTTCACGGAATTCTCGCATTATCGACGGCTTCACTTTTCTATAGCCGGGCCCCTGACCTTCACGACCATCGAAATTTGGGGGTTGTGGTTTGAGGCGAAGATGACTTCGCAGCTCCTCGATGATGATTTGGAAGAGGCCGTACTGCAAGGCAAGGGGTAGGCTTTTTATTGGCTTTTTTTTTTAAAGACACTTGTCTATAGCAGTTATCGGAAATTTTTTTTCAGCTTTGCAACAGTCTTAGGAAGTTTCTTTAACTGTGTGGTGGCGTCGTGAAGTTTTCGTAAATTTTATACGTTTAGGAATTCCTATGTTGCATCTTTCTGGCGGATCAATACAAAAAGGTTCGATTGCAGTTTGAGATGAGTTTTAAAAGGCAACGTTTGTCATTCTTTTCGCGTCGATTTTTTAAACCTGGACTTTACTAACCGGGTTTAACGTGTCGATAGGCCTCTAGCGCTTTTTTTGCGGTTTTCTAAGCTTTTTAAAGTGTTTTTCTTAGGGACAAACGTTTCGATATGTCTTCAGCTCAAAAGTAGAACTTCTAAAAGCCTTTGTAGAATTTCCACACCCACCATCCAAACATGCTGGAGTGTATAGGTGTGCAATGGAGCCCATGGTGTCCGCACGGCCGCCATAAAGTCTTGTTTTGAGAAGCAAAAGTTGGCAATGTGCCCCAGGTATTCTTCCTCTAGGCGCGTCCAATTTTTCGCGGCAATTTCAGCAGCATTCGGATCCACAGCTTTGGTTCTTGATATAATACGCTCGGTGCTGTCCACTGGAATGAAACGAAATCTATTTTTGTGAGTTAATGGCAAAAAAAAACTTTTTAAATTATGTGCGACTCGAAAAAATTATCATTTTTTTGATCAGAACAAGGATTGAAAAATTGCTGCGACTAAGAAACGAAGCAAAAACATTCATTTTCATCAGAAAGTCTAGCCCAAAAAGCTTTAAATTAACTTACCAAACTGCAGCTCGCATTTTCGGCCCCACTTCGCTGAAGCCAAAATTGCAGTGACGAGGAGAAGAAGAAATATTCGTGGCAAAGCGTTAATAGATTTAGCTATTTCCGACATAGTAAAAAGTTTGAATCCGTAATAGCGTAATCGAGAATCCCATAAGATGTGCCAGCGGGCAGCCGGGAATCGTGGTCATCCGCCAAGACTGGCTAACCCCCAAAAAAGAGTATCGTGGGGAGCAAAAAGTGGAACCTGCTCTCGACTACCCGGATTAGCTAGCTAAAAATTGACACTGTCCATAACTTGGAAACTTGGAATATACTAAAAAATGGAAGAATTCCGACTTTTACGGAAGATTGCGAATAAACCCACATTTTTTATGCTCGTCGACAGTTTTTGCCGATTCGGGAATCTGCTCAAAGCATACTGAGCGGCTTTCCATTATACCATACTACAAATACAAAAAAATGCGTTAAGAAACAACTCGCTATTTTTTAACATGTTTCATTTGTAAAAATTAAGCACTTCGATGATGCGAAAAAGCGACTACTGTAGGCCACAACGTGTTTTGGACAGGAATCTAACTAAGGCAAAAATTGGCTGTACTGGCGCTTTACCAGCCTATACCAACTTCCCATCCAAAAAGCAAAAAAGGTAGGGGGCACACGGAGTTGAACCATGGACCTATCGGACTGCAGCCGATTGCTCTACCACTGAGCTATACCCCCGTGGCGATCGGGGCCGGGGGACGGGGTCTTCCTTCAATCCTGATGGTCCGTGGGGGAAGGAAGGAAGGAACGGCTGATGCAATCCTGCAGCTGCAAAAGAGGGGAAAGCGCAGAGTTTGTCAAGTCTTTCTAAAGCAGGGATTTTCTGTGGTAACATAAATTGCCATGAAACTAGAAACACCGCAAAAGCGGAAAATTTAACGGATTTAAGAAAATATCGGAATGTAATTTGGATCAGTCGTAAAGTAATGATTTAATTATTTTTGCATAAAAATCTTGGTCATCGGAAATTTGATAATGTATCCCTCGTCAATTTCGTAGCCGCGGATTTGATGTCGACTTGATGCTTTCTGCAGCCGTTTCCAACGACTTTCGGGGCAGATCGGCCCGTGCTTCACCAAGGTGGTCATTTCCTGGAATTGCAACCGTACTTACAATTAGCAACCATTGAAACGAGTATGAGAATTCCTTCGACTTACCGGGTCGTCAAAGTTTGCGTAGACACGACCATCACAGACGCCTGTATGCGTGAACCTAAATTCGGCGTGGATTTTTCTGTTTCTCTGATTCCCGTCTCTCTCTCTCTCTCTCTCTCTCTCTCTCTCTTCTCTCCGCTTTATCTCACTCGCTCGCTCTAGCTCTCGTTTAATAATAGGCTTCCGATGTTTTTGGTTTCAAAATCCGTGTCGAAATCTAGAGTCAACTTTTAGAGCGAGACAGTGTGAGCGAGTGAGAGAATGAGCGAGAGTGAGAGAGTGGGCTAGAGAGAGATAGAGCGAGATAGAGAGATCGAGTGAGAGAGATAGATATTAGATATTTCTTTTGTATAAAACACACTCTCGCAATCCCTGAGCCTCGGATATATCGACTTCCAACGGGGCTCCCGACCAGATTTGCATCATCTCACATTCCGGCGCCGCTTTGAGATACCGTATTCCAGGTGTGGGACCACCGGGCAGCCGAAGCATAAAGAATTTAGCTTTCAGAGCCCTAAATTAGGTTATCTCCAAGATTCATCGAAATCCTGACCTCGGCAACTCGTACTCCAACGTGCCGATCGCGTTCCTTGTCTTGTATACCGTCAACTTGTTGGTCGTGATCAGACCCTGATTGCCGAGGTTGATCAGCTCGTTCAGTCTTGCCTCGGGGGCTGGGTACTGTAATAATCTCACGTTTTGAGCTAGAATGGCATCGTTTCAGCCGACGGTGCTAATGTACTTGCGGGGGGGACAGTCCGGATTTTGACTACCAGACGCTCCAAATGCCGTTTTTTAAACGCGAAGCCTCTCGAAAAGTGAAGCCAAGCCTAAGCCGAGCCTTAGCTTTATACAAACTAAGTCGCTTAGCTTAGCTTGGACCAAGCTAAGCTTAGCTCTAAGCTGACCCCTAAATGGCCCCAGTCGATATGCTGAGCAAACAAAAGTGCATTATAGGAACTGAAGCTCCTGAAGTATTACTTACGTCAACGACAAGCGAATCCGCGTGAAGCTTATAGCCGGCATCAAAAATGCTCGCCAGCTCGGTTGAACTGATTCCTCTACTCCGGCAAGAGTTTAGGGCCTTGCGTATCTGAAAAGTAGCAGATTTGGTTTTCAGACGCCTTATTAGTACTCACCGTTTTCGCAACGTACAAAATGCCAAAGCGGATCAGCTTGTAGTCGGGGTGTAGGGAAATCAGCTCTTCGAAATGTTGAGATACGACTCGCAGGGGGCGCAAGGTTTCGATGGGCAGTTTAAGGAGGATTTTACTCTGGACTTCGACTGGTAGTTCCAGCAACCGAATACTCATTTCGGAAACTGGAAAGTAGACAAAATTAAAATGTAAAAAGCGTAAATTGGTGTATTTCGAAACTCTAACTCGAAATTCGAGTTGTGAGTGATAAGTTTTCATTTCCGGTCGGCTTATCAAAACTCTCGCAGAATACTTTGCTCACAGAAGTTAAAAAGTGCAAGCGTTCGCGAATTTCACAACTATTACGGAAAAAATTAAGAGCAAGTGAATGCTTATTTACTAAAAATCATGATTTTTATGACCCAACCGGATTTTTATCAAAAAAGTGTAGCGTACAATGCATGCAAAAACAGGAGGATGGTATTCCAAAAATAATCGATGTTGCGCGTTCTTGACGAGTGAGTTGCCAAAAAGGTAGATCCGCACCCGGGTAGGCGAGCCTGAAAAGTGACAGGTATAGGGTGGCAGAATGACCGCAGGGCATTTTCTGCCAGATGGTGAGTGGCAAAGAGACCTCGTGCCGCATCAGTTTAGCTGAACAGATAATAAGGAAAATGCGTTACTTTAAGCTTAAACATCACGGTAAGAAATTAGTTTGAAACGAGCTACTAGCAACATTTCTTTTCCTTTCAGGTAGCGTTAAAGGAAGCGTGACAGCTGGCGTCGGAACGCAGGCAAACTAGCAAATCGGACCTTAAAAACGGATTTTGGGATCTTCACGGGTGTCCAAGCGATCGGAGACTGCCAATCGAATGTCACTGTCTCATGAAAATTCCACTAAAGCTCAGAATCAGTGGCTTTGAAGTGATTTTTGCTACTTTCCGGTTAGAAGAGGCTATTTTGGGTTCAAATTTCTTTCAAATGTTTAATCTTCCTTGGCTGATTTTTTTCTTTGTTTGCCAATGCGTTTACTTACTTTTTAGAAGTGCCAATCATGCCACGTATGTTTATGACATTTTCAAGCAGCCCGTTTTCGGACGAGTGCTTCCAATTAAGCGCGTACAATTGACTGGTCCCTTTTCCGCATCAACTTTGCGTCCATCATGCGTTAGTGGAAGAGAGAGAGAGAGACAGAGAGAGAGAAAAAGAGAGATCGAGAGAGAGAACTAAAGAATGAGAGACATACCCGATCAATCACCCCTTCACAGCGGGTTGAGCCTTTGCATTTGTGTGTTCCCACCCCAGTAGACTAGGAGGTGCACAGACGCAGTGCACGTTTCCTCGACCACATGCGGGCACAAATCCCTACGTGATGTTACTATTTTCACTTTTCAGGATATTTATTTAACGATTTTTTATAATTTTAAACTACTGACGTGTCATCCTTAAAAATTTAGCTGCGTCAAAACACCAAAAAATACCGTTTCATAGGCCGAAATTTGATAGTTTAAGGTCTGTAAGATGTAAAAACGGCAATTGTTTCTTGTCACTGTCCCTTTAAAACCGAGCAAATTTCTAAAAATTAAAAAACCTGGGATACCGAAGTGGGAAAAACGAGTTAGCATGCAAAAACGTAGAAAAATAAATACCGAAATTTGAATTTTTAGAGACTCGATTTTCTAGGGAATTTTTATTTATATTTTTATATAATACTCGTAGTTCCTTTAAAAACGTGTGAAACTCTTGGCTTCTCCCCCTTTTTCAGCTGCAGGATTGCATCAGCCGTTCTTTCCTTCCTTCCCCGACCGACCATCAGGATTCTAGACCCCTTCCCCCGGCCCCGATCGCCACGGGGGTATAGCTCAGTGGTAGAGCAATCGGCTGCAGTCCGATAGGTCCATGGTTCAACTCCGTGTGCCCCCTACCTTTTTGCTTTTTGGACAAGGTGTTGGTATCGGTTAGAATAGTACCAGCACGTTAAATTTTTGTTTTATTAAGCGATTTTTGCGGCGGAATTGAGCGATTTCTTCCGGTATTTTAAATTTCAGAGAATTCGATCGTTTGAGCAGCTTCAAACGTTTTTAAGTAGTGGAACTTTTGTTATACTGTCGAAATGAATTAAGGAATTTTCGGTATATGAAAGTAGATGCTAAGAAAGCGATACCTTCGGAATCCAAAGCTGCCCTATTCGCTCAGCATCCATCATCGAAATCCCAATCCCCCGGCCTTTCCCCTCCCTCGCTTTGGCCAATGCCACCGCCCCAGCTAATATGATTTGCATTCACTTTGGCGTCGTGGGATCTCCCCCGAAACAAACACACACGATGGAAGCTAGCCACTTGTTTGTCGAGCCACCAATCGTTTTGGACTTTTGTCTCACTTCGCAATTTCTTGGAAAATTGGCCTCGTTCTGTAGTTTCAAGCTTTTTCTGACCGAAAATTTATTTAAATTGTTGGATCTGGCTTTTATACGATTCTTCAGCGGTTCCGAGCCATGGAAATGTCTTAATTTAGTCGCCTTTTCTGCAGATTGACTTCATTTTTAAGTTTTCGCTTTAGAACAGGCGAGTTTCCGCTTTTCTAAAATGCACTTACTCCGATAGGGGCTTATAAACAAGCTTCTGATTCACCTCATCGAGCACCTCCCCCGTTTTCGCAACACGATGACTCGACTCTTGCTTTTGTGTTTTTGACCGGCGGCGTCGTGACAGTGCCCCGGCTTTTTGCCCTGTTTGCTGAGACAGGGTATTGAGACCCTTATCCTCGGGAAGCTAATTTTTACGGGAACCGGAAATCCACTCATGATCTCAATGTCTACTGTTTTTCTCTCCTTACTTTTGAGTCATTGGAACCAAATAAGGGCGAAAGTGTAAGCTGTGGCCTTGTGCCTCTCTTGGGCCAGATTCGGAGGCCAGATAATCGGAGTCGGAAAGACGATGGGGGCATCCCCGGGGCTAATAGTTCCGTTTTATTGACTCTTCGTTTCTTTAAAAGCATAGCTTTTCTCTCTCCCTCTCTCTCTCTCTCTCTCTCTCTCTCTCGGATACTCTACTTATGCGTTACTTCAACTGGTTACTTGCATGCTTTTCGCTTTTTTCTTAAACCAAAATGACCCTTAATTCCTGTAACAAAAATTTCACCAGCAGAACGTTGAAGCCACCACCTCTTTCACAAAAAATTGTTTACCCCCTGTTATCAGCCCAGCTTATCGGAACCCCGAAACAGACCATCGCGCTACATGCTTCTTTAGACCTGCTTCCAGGCTCAGGGCTTCCTTGTTTGAAGCTCCTAAGAATTGTGGCACCACAAAAGATTTTAGAGGGCCCCTTCTGCAATGTGAGCCCACAAGTGGCGTGTGAACCAGGGAAGGCATTGATTTTTGAAGCTTTCCCCGAGAACTCTTAAAATATATCTTTCGCTCTCACTCACCTCCCCCTCTCTCTCACGCTCTCTCTCTCTCTCTCGATCTTTCACTCTCTCCCTCTCTCTCTCTCTCTCTCTCTCTCTCTCTCTCTCTGGTTTATGAAACCATCTAGCTTTAGCTAATATGCGTAAGACCTTTAACAAATTTATATTTCCAGCCGCGCGAACCCGGCACGGCTGCGTTGCGGTTAAGGATACCACAAATTTTCATAAAATTAATAATAAAAATTTTTGCGTCCTCATGTTCTTAAAATAACCATATTTCAAGCCTTTTTAGACAAAAATACGTAACGGGCTATTTTCTTCGACAAAAACGCGACTCGTAAATTTTATGCAAATAATCTCGGGCCCCTACATGTTTTCGAATTAATTCCCGGGGCGTTGTTTTTGGCCTGTCTACCGTTCTCTCAATGCCAACCCCACCCCGCGTGGATATTATTTGTTTGCGGCAGCGTGTGGGGGCCCGTGGGGGAAGAAGCCGATGGCCGTTTGGCCGATCGATTTCCGTGAATCGCCACGGTGCCTGGCCCTGTTTGTCCGAATGCCCATATTCTTGTCGGCTGTTGATCGGGCTTGAATCTGATTTTTCTTTTCATTTCTTCAGTGGGACCAAACCGATTTTGATAAGTTTAGTACGGGAAAACCTTATTTCGATAATGTAAATGTGTTTTTCTTTGTGTTTTCCGCGTTTTTAAAATTTTTCTAGTTTTATCTGATGCCTTTTTTGGGATTTTCAAATTATACTGCAGAAATTTGAGCATTAGGCATCCGGAAATAATTTTTCCGCTCCCAGAAATCGGCTCCCCAGAGATTTGACATCGCTCAATTACTTACAAAATCTTCTGCTTTTTCTGCGTTTTAAAAGTGAGATCAAAACCGCAAATCTTACCATATCGGCTTCCCCCTCTTAAAAGATACGATATTATGAAATTCGAGAAAGCGCGTTTGATAAATTTCGCACCTGCCACTTGCGAGCAGCTGAAATTCTTGATCTCTTCTCTCGCCCGTCTAAGTCGTTTTCGATAGGAGTTACTTTGATTTTTTTCCCTTCCATGTTCACGCCTTACCATGTAATTCTGATCCTACATACACCTTTATCCAGAAAAATGGCCATCGAAGTGAAGGATATCATCGAGATTGTGCTCTGCCTCCTGATTCCGGTAAGAGATCCTAAACCGCGTGTCGTCGCGAATCAGCTAAAAATACAGATTTGTACTTACAATAAAAAAAACTTAAATGTGTTCAAACTTTTAAAAACCTCTAAAAATATTTGGAAGTTATTAAACAATACTTTTTAGCCCGTGGCCGTGTTCTTCCACGCCAACGACTGCAACATCCACGTGGTCGTCAGCATCATTTTGTACATCCTCGGATGGATCCCTGGCGTTATCCACGCCATCTGGTGGGTGTTTGGGAATTTGTAGGGTAAAAATAGCGTCGAAACCCCCGACGTTACGACAAGAAATTGTCGTGCTTTTGACAGCAAAATTTTCCTATTGTTTTACATAGAAAAAGTTTTTTAGAAATTGATGTTCATAATAGAGAAAATGATTTTTTAGCGAAAAGCAACACAATTTTAGGTACTGCTTCTTCCGCGCTTAGAAGCCGAACTTCGAACGATCTCAACAAGGAGAATTTTACTCCTGAATTTCTGTCCTCTAAAAACTATTTAATTTTTTGGGATTTCGAACGCCTTTCCTGCCCCAAGACTTTTTTTTCTTGCGCTAACTGTGATTATGATGAGCAATTGATCAATGATGTGGATAAATTTTTAAGAATCAAAAGGCAGACAGAGCGAGAGAGAGAGAGAGAGAGAGAGAGAGCAGCAGGAATAAATCGAGATAGAGAGGATACGAGACAGAGAGACAAAGATAGAGTGAGACTAAGTAAGAGAGATAGAAATACAACTGAAATCCTCGCAAATTATGCGGATTACAGTACCCTGTCTAAAGGTCTTCTAAAGGCTAACTACCGGCCCAAATCAGCAATTCTCAAAACGTCTGGCCTTCCTGATTACAGCTTCCAGAACATGTCCAATTTTCGGGTTCCAAAATGCCTCAAAATGGCCGAAATTCATCAAATTACAGGCTTCTGAAAGCTGGTCGAAAGTTGGGCAAAATGTAGGCGATCTTTAGAGGGCGGCATTTTTCTGGGCTTTCTGATGCTGTTCTTCGCAAGTAATAATTACGGCCGGCTCCAACTAAAGTTCTGACCTGTAATTTGCAGCCCTTTATTGGGTACAGGGGGTGTCCACAATTTTAAGTCGGCTGTTTTCAGCACTTTTCGGCTTTTTTTGGATGGGCAAAGATGAGCTGGCGCCCGTGGATCCGGATGCTTATGAGGACGATAGCTACGATTATTTCTATACTTGCGCCGATAATAAGCATCCCCTGATTGGGTTGCTAAAAAAGTATAAATATCACTGGAATGGGATACCGATCCGGAATCGACAGAATGAGAAGACGGACCCGCCGATTGTTGCGTCGATGATTGTTGTAGGTTACCAATATTTAGTTCGAAAATTAATTTAAGCTTAAGCTCGGTATCGGTATTAACTAGGTATACCAAAAGTACGCTATAATAACTACAACTATCCTTTAAAAAATAATTTAAGCAACCAGAAAAGCGCACAGCAAAATTAAGGGAATTAGGAAGCAACAAGAAGTGCCTGCCCCACAGTTTTCCCAGACCGAAAACGACACTCTTCTCCACTTTAAAGGAGCTAGAAAGTTGCGAAAAGCAAGGGTCGACCTATCCGTAGATTGGGCTAGACATCTACGTTAAATTTCAATATCTCGTTTTCGCTGTCTTGGGTTAACCGGCAAGGTATATTTTGGAACAGAATGTCATGCGCATGCGCCGATCTATTGGCGTATTGTGTAGTTGTCGATACCTAATGACGAAGTAGTTCGATTGTGGCCCTTTAATTGACTTTAAGAGTTCAAAAATTATCTCCTGAGCGGCAGGATATCATTCCTGAAAGCAGAATGGATAACTTCTATATTTTCAGTTTGGAACCACCGGCTTCCTTCTCTGCCTCTACTGTTTCCGCGTGATCTTCAGAAACAGTCGGCTGTCACGAGGTGTCAAATGGTTTCTAACTATCGATTGTTTTTGTCGACTTCACGAGAGCTGGACGCTACTTTTCAAGGCTCATTGTGTTGTTACGTGAGTTTTTAAAGTTGCGATACCTCTTGCTACTCACAAATGAGATTTTTCTTGCAAAACTGACCTAAAATTGTATAGTTTTGTAGGCCCCCGGAAGTCTAGCTGTTGCCAAAATGCATAAAGTAAAAATGACATTTTTAGGTTCTGGTGCGTCGACGTGACCAACCCTCCCTTTCACGGTCTATTCTTCAACCAACTGATTACGGCATTAAATCTGGGGATGTTCTACTCGATTCAGTGCCTAGGGAATGGTTTGGCATTGAATAGGTCGGCTATTGATCTGCTATACAACTATAATGCTATAATTTCAGGCTCTTCGCCGTCGTCCTGGAAGGGCGCTTCGCGGCTAAATTCGAGCGCTACGCCCCGCAACACGCACTAATAGCTTGGCTATTCCCAATCGGGGTCCACGTATATGAGATGGGGAACGGTAAGTGTAAAACGATCTTAAAGAGACATGGAAGCCAGAAGGCCCTCAAAAATGTCAGTTTTATGATTTTCCCAAGACTATCAAAGCTTTGGATAGCAAGGTCCTCTAAAGCTCACTAGTTTTAGTCGTAAACCCCGACACTGGCTACGTTTGCTTTGGTGGCTGGACGTTCAACCCGCTGGAATATTCTGACTATGCTTGGTGGTGGTGGGACAAATCAGTCGCGTTGATGATGGACCATTTTGACAAACTGATGTATTTTGTCTTCATGACGACAGTATTTTTCGATATCGTCACATTAGTTAGAATCCGAACGATGGTAAGTTATGGTAATTTTTGCGGTTTTTCATTTTGTCTAGTCATTAGACTATAGTCTCATTACGACAGTTTTTCGAAATTTTTTGAATTTAGCATCGTCAATCTCCCCTGAAAAGAAGCGTTGAGCAACGATTGGCGATAATGGTAAGTAGTAGCTTAAATTCATTAAATATTGTTTTAGCTCCTCATCACCCATCTCACAACAATCATCTTCTTGGCTAGCAACGTTGTATCCAATTACATCTTCCCCGATGAGACACCAATTTTCTATTATCTTGTCGAGGATGTGGCCTCGTTTTTCGGCCATTCTTTTTATACGTAACGTTTCCGACATCGAGTCTGAAAATTGGGATTTAGACTGATCGTGATCCTATCAAATTTGTCGAATGAAAAACGGCGGATCGCTGCCAGAATAGTGGCCTCCCGATCGACGGGAATTTCGGATAAGAAGACTGCTTTGAAAGTATAAATCTGTAACCTTTGACGTCGATAAATAATAACGCTTTCCACAAAAATATCTGCTAGCTGACCTCCTGGAAGATATTCCAATTTCTTCGAACAGACATGTTAGCGGTAAAACCACCTTAATCTCTCTCACTCTCTCACTCTCTCTCACTCTCTCTATCTTTTTCTTTATGGCCCTCCGTTGTAGGCTTAATGGTTGGTGAGCTAGCAGAGGCCATTCTGGAAACCAGCCTAACGGATTTAAAAAAAGATTAATTTATGAAACCTAGGTATCTTGGTGATACCTTAGCATTCCATCATGGCCACATTTTAACGCGCTGTTTTTTTATCCACAGGCATCCTCCCGGGCCGCCAAAATGTTTATGGGATGAGGAGGGGCCAGTGTGAGGGTTGTTGTGCTGGTTGACCTTCGTTTTTCCTCCCTCTGCCCCTCTTTTTTATGAGGAAAGGACGTGGTACTCATCCAGACGGGCCGAATGCCCCTTCTCTACGCCCATTCCCAGATTCTCTCCCGCCAAAACATCGCCCCGAACACCATGTTTCCACTTGCGTCCCATTGACAGACAAATTCCTTTGCTGGGTTGGTCTTGTACCGTTTATTTGGTTTTTATAATTTGTTAGAAGGACGAGCAAGACAGGTTTATAGATTTTGCGGCTATGGATTCACTAGGGTGCATTACCTGCGCTGGTGATACGCGAACGTCGCGTGTCTCGGACGGCGTAATCGAGTGCAAGGGATCCACATCCAAGAAATATGTAGTGATGCCTAGCGCTTCCCTTTAGAAGGCCACTGAAGCCATTTTTCGAGCATTAGGGCTGCAAGTTTTCTGCTGGCTAAAAGCCTTGATTACGCAAAAAATATTTGTCTTCCCGAATTCCTGGCAACTCCCCAGTTCCGCTACTTCCAATCGAGGAATTTATTTGCCTGTCAGCGGCCGGACAGCGAAAATGACTCACATTTCCGGCACCATCCTGATTCCGGTTTCATTTCGATTCCCGCCGCATACTCTAGTAATACTATTTTTTTAGGATTTGCGGGCTTCTTTCTGGTTTCCTGACAGATAGGGTAATTAAATTTGAGGTTTCCTAAAAAACTAGGATCTTCAAAACACTCCTCCTGAACTCGAATTCGGCTCAAAGTTTTTATTTTCTGTTTTGCGCTCTGAAACCAGGTTACTATAGACTATAACCATTACGTTAAAGTTTCCTTACGGAATTTGTACTTTAGAAAACAGGCATTGCGATATTTCTACAGTTTGCTCCATCTTACGGTATCATGCCACTTTTTAACGTACAAAATCGATACATGATTTGCCAAGGGTACATTTGAATATTTGCATAGCCACGATTGCGCTTTCGTTGACCGCCAAAAAATTCTGGTGACCTCGGTTGTGTTGGCCTCGAGGGGCCACCAACAAATATTCACAAACAACCCCCTCCCCCCTCGTTCTCATGTCCTCCAAATGGCCCTCAATCCACAACACCAGACCCACCACCCGACCCGACCAGACCCTACTACACTTTTGGGCGCACCCGTCCCTAGGGGATATCGATCTGGCCTCGAGGCATATCGCCCCCACCAAGCCGGTCAAAGATCATGTGATCATCTTGGATTTGCATGTCTACAGTATTTTACGCCATATACATAATTCATTATTTCCTTGGTGGATACCAGATGAATTTGAAAAATATAGGTTACTGTAAGCTAGTGGAATAATAAATCATTTTCTGTATGTTTCTAGATATTTCTCCCGGAAAACAGCTTTTTAAACAATTGTATGATTGTTTAAAAAACCCTATTAAATTGTCTTATTCAACTAATCAATGAATGTTTTTGTTTCTCCGCTAGGTAAATAATTTGTAGGCAATAAAAATTACCGCAACCTGATAGCCAAGGTGACAAATGTTTTGATATTGATTTTAAAGTATGGAATACTTTTTTGAGATTAATACACATTTATTTCCGTTTTCCTCTCATATTCCTATGCATTATTTGCGGCGCACAATCCCCCTCGCCCTTCCATACCACCGCAATTATGCGCAGCTGGAACCGGTCCCACCACCAGCATTTCCACCCGCAACCACCCGGTTGAGCCCAACGGAAATCCTACGCAAATTTGATACATGCCAGCCTGTTTACGGTTTCCGGTTCTAAAAAATTCATGATTGGATTTACGAAATCCAAAAATTTTGGAAAAGTTTTGGAGCAGGCTCTGTTGACCTCCTTTTTCACAATTCGATTACGCCACCAAATTCCAAATGAAAATGGCTCATAGGTTATCAAGGTTTTTATAGTCTGCTTTCAAACGTTAAGCTCAAAAATGGGCTTATAAGTGTAAAAATGTATGAGAAATAGAATCCAGAATTGATTAGCTTGCTGCTATTTTTCCCCGATTGTTCTTGCACATCAAATTGTTTACCCGGCCAGCTGCATTTTTTTTTCTTGCCCCCCGGTCTTGTTTCGACCTTGGATTGTCTCCAATTCGCCCAGACCGAGGCACCCCCGCCCGCGCGTGTCTACGTCCCGCGTGTCTAGGGAGTGGCGTTTTCTCCCCATGGCCCTGGCAGAAGAAAGCGATCATAAATGCTGGAATGCGCGAAAATCGAGCTAAACAATTTCTCAACACAAAAAGAGTTTTGAGTTTGAAAAAGCCGTTAGCTAGCTAGCAAAGCAGCTAGTTAAACGGAATTAAACTCATTTTAGGCTGCTAGAATCGCTTTGGAAAGCGTAGATAGAGAGGGAACCATTAAAGGCGCCAGAAAGTGCCTGAATTCCGAGACTGGGATACAACAGCTGCGCTACACGCCAAAATACGCGTGGAAATTCACTCAAAACGTGGCAAATTCATTAGAACTTTTGTATAAATACAATTTTTTGAGCGCTTTCTTTTAAGGTGTGTTCGGGCGTGTTTGTTCGCAGGGCAAAACTGTCGAGACCAGGTTTACCGAGGGGGTGTATTTCGGATTTTCTAAGAACTTGTAGGTCTGGATTTTCTAGATGTTTAATGTAGCTGATTCGAAGCTATTTTCCTGAGTCTCGCACAGAGGCGCGTCTAGTGACTGTCGAGACCTAGGGGACAGAGGGGTCGAATCAGCCATTTCCAAACCTATTTAACATAAAAAGCCAAAGCTAGATCCCATTTTTGAAACCCTATTTCCGTTCTTTTCGTCTACTAGACTTTCAAATTTCCCAATAACCCAAGCAGTAGCACCGCAACGAACGGGTTGTTTATTTTAGGCTCCCCCGGCCTAAAGCAAGCTGTTTGGGGGCTTGGGAAAAGAACACATGTTGAGGGCGGGCCAGAAGGGCCAAGGAAGGAATGGAATGAGTCGTCTGGCGCCACAGAGCTTGTTTTGCGAAATGTCCCCATGTTTTGCCAAGAGTGTCCCCCCCGGTCGTTTCCGTTTGCCAACTTTTCGAAATCGAAACTATTGGTTTTCAGCTATTTTTCCAGCTAAATTCCGGGTTGATAGCTGTTGTTAAAGCGCAGATGTATAGCTCGGATGGCGCCCAGTCTCAACGCGCGGCCGCTTCGCGGTCTTAGAAAAGCGGTAATTTCATAGTTTAACAGGTTTTTTTAGAAAATTAAAAAGTATGGTGTGGGTATTTATGCAAGTATACACCTTCACACAGACCTTCGAATTTTCAAAGTGACTGGAACATGCTTCTCAACGCTCAAGTGGCTGCGCCCCGGTCACGCGTCACGTTTTTTTGTATACTTGATATATAAACCTACGTAGGCTTAAAGGGATACCCAACCTTTCCGAGGCTCAAAAAGCAAAAACCATGACGCGGTCGGGGGTCGAACCCCGGACCCTCGCTTTGAAGACATGGATGCTATCCATTAGGCCATAGTGGCAAGCCAATGCTTGGGATTGGGAAGCCACAAGAGGGAAAGGGGTCCGAATTCTGTGCGGCACTGGGCACCCATTCCCGCACAAAATTCGCGCGTCATTTGTACTGCCCGGAATACATAACTATATATTTGCCGCAAAAACATTGGGTATCCCTTTAAAAGTCCTTAAAGCAAATGAAATATTGCCCATACAACGATTGCGGTCGCGTCGCGGTCACCGAAAAAAGCAGCTTCATGGCCATCATGGTTTAGCGAAACCCCTATAACCTATGATAATATGATCTGAAATATATTTGGATTTAATAAAATTTTAGCTGAAGAATTCCGATGTTTCTGTATATTCTGAGTCATCATCCGCGCTCCGGCCCTTTGGCAGCCAAGAGTGTAATTTTGGCGGCAAGAAACCGAGCCGATATTGCATTTTTGTAATGATCATCGGGCTAGATAAGGCAATACGGTAGGAGAAGTATATAAGACGTAGACAATCTCGTTGGGAGCAGTCTAGTTTGGGTTTTCGAAGTCTTCAAGAATTATATATATTTTTTTAATTTGAATTTTCGTAGAAAAATTTTTGGCTATTTAAGCATGTTACTCTGTCTGTAAGAAGACTATGAAATGGAGAAAAGGATAATTGGTAAAAATATACATTTATAACAATGTTTGTTACAGGTGTTTTATCCAAGCCTCGTGTCTCATTTCAAGCTCAAAAATTCTTATCACCACTTTCCAAAAGCATATCTTTCTTGTCCCTGGACTCGTCCCAACCCTCGCCCCGGTAAACAACAACTAGAGAACCCCCAGCCAGATTGCACACCGGCAAGTCTGTCCCGAAAAGAATGCGTCGATAGGCGCGCCGTTGGCTGTAATGTGGCCCCGGCTTGCCCAGACCCAGCTGTCTATCCATCTCTGTTACCCGCAAAAACAAAAATTGCCATGTTGCCGAGGCGATTTGCGATCGATTATCGGGCTTTACATTTTTCTCCTAAGCTTTTCTTTTGTATCAAAATTTGTGGGGTTTTGGAGCGTTTCATAGTGGTATCATTATTATTTGCGTTTTTTTGTAAAAATATAAAATCATGTTTTAAATTTTGTTATCAGGTCTGTAAGCATCGAATGCGCTTTCTGGAAATTTGTCGACAATTTTAAAGCACAAATATATGGAAAACCCAAGCTAGATTTATCTAAAAATTTACATATGGTAGGCTAAGTTGTAAAACAAAGATGTTTTTAAAGTAGTTTTTAGACGTTTTTAGGATGTTTTTATCAAGTCCGAGACTGAATTCTGGTCCTTTTTTCGTCGAAATACCGGAAAACATTTGCACTGCATGCCCTACTCAAAATTCCCCATTCTCTTCTCATATTGGTTTTCTGCCCTTGACTGCAAACAAACAGCCTGGGAATTCAGTTTCGAAGGTGCCTCTGGAATACCAGAGGAAGTTTTCGGACGTTTCGGATATTCCGGGCGTTTAAAGGCGTAGCGCATACTCCTTTTTTACAACATTTTTACATTGATATCAATATGGTTACCCAATTTTCAGAAAGTCTAAACTTCTTTAAATTATGTTAAAAGGTCGTTTTATATATTTTGGGACAGTGTCGTATATCAAGCCTCTTCTTACATTGTGCGCGTCCTAGAAAATTGTATTTATCTAAGTACCGCACCGGAGTCCCAAAATTCACGTGCGATTCCTAATTTTCTGGTTGTTTTGAGATGCCGAGCCCCTCATTCGACCCCCTGACTCATCACCCCCATTTGAACGGGGGTATCGAGGCGTCTCTGACCCTCCTAAATGGCATTCGGTTCTTTATGGATGGGATACGGTAGTTTCGGACATTGAAATTGAGGATCTCTCTTTCTCTCTCAACCACTCTCTCTCCCTCGCTCTCTCTCCCCCCTCTCTCTCTCTCGTTCTCTCTCACTTCCCCATTTAACCAATTTTCTGTTCTCTCCAGTTCCTTCTGATTTTAAATAATCCCATTCTTACAGTAAGATGGCCATCACCGCCCAGCAGATCATCGAGATCATCCTCTGCATCCTGTTGCCGGTAATTTTTACTTGCTTTCAATTTTTCAAAATTCCGGCTGGTAAAAAGGATCGCTTAAAAAAGCTGGAATTAAGATAAATTAAAAATCTAATCAAATTTTTTCAGCCGCTGGCCGTGTTCATGCACGCCAACGAGTGCAACATCCACGTACTCATCAGCGCGGTGCTCATGCTCCTCGGCTACTTCCTGTCGCCCCTCCACGCCATCTGGTAGGTCTAACTTTAGAAGTTACAAAACAGCCGGAGGTTAGGCAAGATCGCAGAGATTATTTATTCAAAACTATGTAAAAACTCGGAAAATCCTTTAGCAAAACAAGAATGTCGAACATTAAAGAACTAATAAATAGTCTAGCAGAGAAAATTGAGGAAAATTCTTAAACTCCGAAACTCCTTCAGAAAGCGAAACACATGTACTCTAAATACAAACGGCGCAGAAAATAATGTTTGCTAATTTTAGGGCAAAATAGCAGAGATTCTTAGGGATTCCTAGACATTAATGTAGAATTTTGGATTTTTACGGTAATTTGAGCTGCTTAAAAGGGCATTTTTCATTTCTATGTTTCACATTTTCAGGTACTGCTTCTTCCCGAGCTTACACGCCATTCCAACGGACATTAATTTAACTTTTCCCCACGGCTTTATGCATTTATTCACTGCCTCATTGGGTCCCCCCATTCCTTTAAGATTGCAATTTGAATAAATATTATTTTTTGTCGAGAGCTCAGGTATTTTTGTACGATGTATCATGCATCGAAATATCGAGAGTTTGGATTTTTTAACCCATTTTTATTATTCTTGTTGATCATTCTTAATCGCTCTTGAAAATCGATGAAGGTAATTTTTCGTTATTGAACTATACGCTAATCGTAAGAATTTTGACTATACCGTAAAGTTCACTATTTCACGACCTGTTTTTCCTGCCCGGCCCTCACCTCATTACAAATCTACACCCCGGTTTCTCCCGCACTTTTCCGTTTTTCATCTCATTTCTGTCTCCCCACCAAACGACGATCCGCCTCGCGAAAAACATATTGATTCCGACACCTTCCACCCTACGTTCTTTGCCCCGCCCCCAATCACCCCTACCCTCTACCCGCCCCACCCAGACCACACTCGAAAACAAACAAAAATTTGGCTCAATGCGGCGCGGTGGGGAGACTTGCACGAAGTTTGGACATTGTCTATCTCTGTCTCTCGCGCTCGCTCTCTCGCTCTCTCTGTCTCTCTGTCTCTCTCTCTCTCTCTCTCTCTCTCTCTCCTTGTTTTCGCCATTGATGATTTTGAAAATTGGACAAAACTCCTTATCACGGGCGCTAATTTTGAAACGAATTGCTTGGTTCCACATTTTTTTTTGGATCACTGGAAAAACTACCTATTTTAGGTATTTTCTATTACGCTTTTTCGGATCCCTATGAACTGAACATTTTTTCAAGGTATCGGGGGAGCGCAAAAACATTTTACAGCACCAAATACCGTTACGATAACCCAAACATTTTTTTAATTTCCGACGTAGACTTGGTCCTATGGAAAAAATGAATGAATGAACTTTTCGATTCCGTCAAACCGCAGAATTAATATATTTGAATTTTTATTGGATTTAAATTGTTCCTTTAGCCACCTCTTAACAAAATTTTTGTAAGATCGAAACTCTCGACAAAAAACTAACTGAACGGTTTGCCTTCAAGAATACTGCTGATTTTTGCCGAAAAATGCGCCTCCGCTCCCTCTCAATTCCAACCTTCTTGACTCAATCGTCTTCCTTTCTCACTCTTTCAACAGCGTCGCCGGCCAATTTTCTGAAGTTGCAAAAATGAGTCAGGCCCGCGCGAGGGTTTCATGGGGTCCCCTATGCACTCGGTTGCTGAAAACGTTTCGCCACAAAACTTCGAAAACAACAAGCAAAAAGGGATAGATAAGGTGATCTGTGGTTTTCTTTCTCTTGCTAGTATACTTTCCAAATATCACCTTGATCTTATTAGGTCCTTTCATTCTTTATCACCATCTGATTTTAATGGGATTTTGAATGAATCATGGCCTGGATTATCGTAATTTTCTTTGCTTATGGCAAGACGTGTTCGTAAACTGATAGACTCTGGTTTTTCGGGAGTTTTTCGTATTACTCTAGATTATAGCAAACTCGTTTCTAATTTTTTCGACGGTTTCATTTTTTTTCCGATTGGTTTTCTTGTCCTCCCCTGAGTTTTGTCAGCTTTTAATGGACTTTTTTTTCAGAAAAAATGGCCATCACTGCCCAGCAAATCATCGAGCTTATCCTCTGCATCTTCTTGCCGGTACGATTTTTTTAGCATTAAGCGGATTAATTTTTCTTGTACACAAGCGCGAAAAGTGGAGATCCTAAGCATTTTTCAGCACTTAAAGATGTATTTTACAAGCAATCAATGTTGTTTTTAGCCGCTCGCCGTCTTCCTCCACGGAAATGACTGCAACGCGCACGTGTTGATCAACATCGTGCTCTTCTGCCTCGGATACATTTTGGCCCCGATTCACGCCATCTGGTTAGTTTCTGCGAAATTGAGCACGAGAGAGAGAAAGAGAGAGAGAGAGAGAACGAGAGAGAGAGAGAGAGCGAGAGCGAGAGTGGGATAGAGAGAGAGAGAAAGCGAGACAGAGTGAGAGAGAAATAGAGCGAGGCAGAGAGATAGTGTGCGCGTACGAGAGACGGCGGGAGACTGAGAGAGCGTTAAAGCGAGGGAGAGCAAGAGAGAAGAGAGAGAGGGCGATAGAGCTAGCGAGAAAGAGAGAGAGAGAGCGAGAGAAAGAGAGAGAGAGAGAGAGCGAAAGAGAGATATGCAGAAAAAAATGGACAAACAGAGATGACGACTCTATTTTTACCATTTCCAGGTACTGCTTCTTCCAATAGACGTCTACTACCACCGATTCGGCCTAACTACTTCCATTCCTTTGGAGATTTTCAAAAACATCTGAAGTTTTATATTACCTACCTACCTTATTCATAATGCCTTACCACTCTTGATCGCCTTCTGCCAGCATTTACCCCACCAAAAATTGCCTTACTACGCTCTTTTCGATCGAATAAATTGCTCACAATTAAAGGCGAATACAACCAGAAAGAATACAACCAGAAAGACCCATATAAATATTTATTCTCCACCAAATAAATACATTTTTTCAGCGATTTCCGTAGAAGTTAAGACGACATTGTCTAAATACAGGTTTTAATTAATTTTTATAGGGTTTTTATACCTTGTCGTTGGCTATTGAAGAGATAGTAGATGTCGAATTGGAGCCTGATTCCTCAGCATCGTCAGCTAGAAGATAATTCTCGTGGCCGGAGGATTTCCCGGTCGATTCCTTCGTTTTGAGCTTCTTGAATTTGGCGGCCATGTTAGTGTATCTAAATCGGAAAATTGGATACGATTTTTAATGCAATAAAACGGCTTTCGAAGAGCCGAAATTCACTTTTTCCGATCCGGAAACTTTTAAAAACACAAAAAGCTTGATAATGCGCTGTGAAACTTTACATTTTTCTGGTTAAAAATTTGATTAATTTCTCGTTCTCTCTCTCTCTCTCTCTCTCTCTCTCTTTCTCTTTCTCTCTCGCTCGCTTTCTCTCCCTCTCTCTCTCTCTCTCGCTCTCTCTCTCTGTCGAAGCGCTTTGTATTTTCCTAATTTTTCTACTTTAGACGCCTTGAAAAAGTCACTACTTATTAAATATTAAACAGCTATCCATTAATTACCCTCACCTTTCAAGAATTTTAGAAAAATTTATGTGATGGGCTCGGTTTAAGACTGAAAATTTAAACAAATCAGTATCTTGACTGTTTAAATGGTCTCTTCATTGTTATCTTTGTGTTTCTCTGAGCCTTCTCTCTGACATAGTCTCGACCATCCTAACCGAGACAACCTAAAAAGCCAAGAGACACGCTCGCCCCCGCTGCGCCAAGATGTACACTTGGCGCGCTACACGCGCCAAGCTTGCCAAAACCGGCTTCACCCGATTCTGGCAGCCGCATTCCCCTCAAATCGCCCTTTCGGCGCGCCTGCCCACATGGCTGAGTGGTCTAGTGGTATGATTCTCGCTTAGGGTGCGAGAGGTCCCGGGTTCAATCCCCGGCTCAGCCCAGATTTTTGCTTTTTGAGAATTTTCGTTCCGTTACGTTCCTATCTCATTCTCACAAGCCTCACCCAGCTTCTCGTGCTCCATGGCTGAGTGGTCTAGTGGTATGATTCTCGCTTAGGGTGCGAGAGGTCCCGGGTTCAATCCCCGGCTCAGCCCAAATTTTTGCTTTTTGAGAATTTCGTTCCGTTACGTTCCGATCTCATCCTCATAAGCTTCACCCAGCTTCCCGTGCTCCATGGCTGAGTGGTCTAGTGGTATGATTCTCGCTTACTGTAAAGTGTTTTTACTCAACTTGGAGTTTCGATTCGGAACCAAGTGCATCTTGTACAGAATTTTTCGCTGATTCCGAATATGTTTTCCAAATTTGCTACGGACCGTTATTCTGAAAGTTATACGGCAATCATGACCCTAGTTTTCACCAAAATTCGTTGTCGTTATAGTTTTCGAATTTCTTCATTAATTTCAACGTCAAAATTGATTAGACTTTGGCTCGACAAGCATCCGAATGCTCAAAACAAGCATTTTAGATAAAAAATGAGATTTTTATGCAAAGAGCAAAGAAAGATGCGGGGCGGGTTCGAACCGCCGCATGCGCTTGGCAAGCGAGTACTTTGCCAATGCACCATGGTGCCCTGGGAATAACAGCCCCAAACAAGGAATAGTGGGCCAGTGTCTGAATTTTTGGCATTTTTCGGCCTAATTGTTACCAAAAATGATTTTTTAAATAAAAGTCCGTAGCAAATTTGGAAAACATATTCGGAATCAGCAAAAAATTCTGCACAAGAAGCGCTTGGTCCCGAATCGAAACTCCAAGTTGAGTAAAAACACTTTACAGTTAGGGTGCGAGAGGTTCCGGGTCCAATCGCTTTTAGGTGCTTTTGGAGTTTCGGGACGGGACCTAGCTAGTTCGATAGAGAAAAAAATTCTGAGCAACATCCCGTTTTCAAAAAGTGCTGATCGATAAAGGTGTTTTAGAAAATTGAATTTAATTAAAAATGTTCCCGGTGTCGGCACCCTTGTGGTGATTTGAGGTGATTTACGGCGGGCCAGCGCCGCTGCCAGATGGGGACTTCACGCGTCATGGATCCCGTCCAAGGCATGGCCAAATGGCTAGTGCGTTGGCCTACCAGTTTTTTTTATCGTTTGCCACAAGTTCGATTCTTATTTATCGTTAACTCTTTGCTTTTTTGCTAATTAAAATTTAATATTTTCCGATAACGGGTTCAAGAACCAAAAAGCAAAGGGTTAGCCAGCGCGAAGATTCGAACCCGAGGCAAAAAAATGTTAAATAGTTGGTAGGCAAGCGCGCTACCAATACGCCAATGCAACCTGTGATGGACGCCTTGGCGGAGGGTTATGAATGGTGCCCGGCCAGCCCCGACAACGACGCGAACCGAGGAAATGGACCCGAAAACTAGAAAAAATCGCGAACTTTGAATTAAATTTTCTAAAATTCCTTTATCGATCAGCACTTTTTGCAAATGGTATGTTGCTCAGAATTTTTTTCTCTATCGAACTAGCTAGGTCCCGCCCCGAAAATCCCAAAGCACCTAAAAGCGACTCCTTGTCAGCCCAGATCTTTTGCTTTTTGGGGAATCGGCGTTATAGAGTTCCAGAGGTCTAGAAAAATGTATTTTAGACTCTAGGGAGATTTATTGGTACTTATTTTGGCTTTTGAATAATTGCTTAGATGTATGGTCGAGTTTTATGGACCCCAGCACTAAAAAATCCTGCCAGTATTTTTCTTTTTTTTTGAAAAATTGTGGCATATGAAGTGTTTTGAATTGTCAGAGGTATAGAAAAATGGTATTTACCTTTGAAATAAAGCTATTTGGGCATTATTTAGGTTTTTTACTTACTTCAAGCAGCACGTGCTCGATCCGCATGGCACATATCCGGGCTGACAACTGCACGGGAAGGTGGTGCACGGGATTGATGGAGCGGGCTCCATACCATCTAAGAGATTGGCCAAACTAAGGATATATTAATGTAATACGTTTTTTATACACATCATTAGGTTGTACTTTATCAAGCATCAAATAGGACAAACACGCTCAAACGGGGAAAATGAAGCTAAAAATCGGAAATGGACAGTAATACTTATCGGAAATTTTGGGTTGAAAGCGAGAGAGCGAGAGAGCGAAAGAGGAAGAACGAGAAAAGAGAGAGAAATGGAGAGATAGAGAGAATGAGGGAGAGAGCTATCGAGAGCATGAGAAATAGCGAGCACGAAAGCGGTTCCAAGCCTCACAAAGCCATAGAAAAATTTTAAAACCTAGAAAAATCCGGAAAATTTAAAATGTGTAGGCGTTTTAAACAGCATGTTTTTGAGCATGCAATAAATATAGGTATCTAGCATTGAAAGAGATAGTCTAGCGAATTTTCGATGATATATACGCAATACAGGAATACAGTACACCGTATAGATTGTGAAGTGGGGATTGCCGAAATTTGAGGTTAAGCGGAAATCGTTATACAGTTAGTTAGTTTTCTTCGATTCCGGGTCCTTCTTCTCTTCCTTGCGCTTCTTCAGCGAAATACCGCCGAGGACTGAAAGAGGACAGTTGATAGCAAAGGGTTGGAAAAAATTGGTTTAAAGGGACGAGGAAGTGACGGAATCGACCCCCGCGTTAACTGGGTCTCGACAACTAGGCGATACGCTTATTTTGTTCATTTTTAGCATTGTGGCTAAAACATCACTTTCGAGTTCTACACCATAAAAACGATTTTAAGCGCCAATTGGCGAGGTCATAGATGTCGAGACCTAGCGGATTGAAGGAGTCCATTTCTGGCGCGTTCTAGCACCTTTAAACCGGCAGCACTCGGAAACATCAAAATCACTAGAAACATTTAAAAAGAGCATCCTACATTTTTATACAACTTACGGTTCTGCGTGCAGCTAGGCAGACACATTGGCATACAGCTCTGCGCACAGCTGCCTTGGGTGGCAGGGATTGAGAGCTAAAAAAGACAAATTTTAACATTATCATCGCCAAAACTTAATAAACAAATGCCTATGCATTAAATAAATTTTTTATGTATTTTAAGACGAAACCAAACCGTATATCGGGCGATGCAAGCCGGGGCACAGACGGGCATGCACTCGGGGGCACAGGTCGCCTGCAGGAAAGGATAGAATGATTCGAAATTATAATTATAGTATAGGTATAGAACAATATGGAAAATAAAGACCTTTTTCCCGGAAGGTATTACAAAAGGATTTTGAAGGATTAAATATTTAAAATTATTGGAATTCAATCAGAACACATTTTGTGGAATGTTCCTAGTCTTAGATGAAATAAGGCGCTCTTTCTACCGTATCCCCGATGCGAAAATTATCCATTTCTAGGCTTACGTTAAGTACTACCAAGTCATAATCGGGACCCATTGTCACGGGCTCGATCGACTCGCCCAGGACGTTGGTCACCACCGGAACCGTGTATTCCAGAGGAATCTTGAACGCATTTTTTCACGTTTTCCAAATCGCGTAGTGATAATCGGCCATGTAATAAACGATTGACAAGCGTTATCAATCGTTTATTACATAGCGTAGGTTTAGAATTTCATTGCGTAATTAATTTCTTCGATCCGAAAATTCCCCAACATTCCAAAGGACAGTAACGTTACCTCGGAAATACAAGTGGCCCTACAATCCGGCATGCACCGGTCGATGCACACGGCCGGGGCAGCGGCAACGACTGGAGAATGTTGATAGGAGAATTGCTGGACGCAAATCGGGTTGCACGACGGCATACATGGTTCGACGCACGTCGCTCGAATCGGCATCTGGAATACCCGGAAGTCACCAGGGGGGATAGAATTGATAGATTGGGGAGTCGTTAAAAGCCATAAAAACCAGGTACGACGGTGAAAGGACTGTAATTTATAAAGTTCACGGGTTTGCCGTAATTTTCATTCTAAACGAGAGTTTTGTTAGACTTCCGCTTACTTCAAATGATCTCTGCTAACATGCTTCTTAAAAAAACGAATAATACCTGGCTTCTCGTAAGACTTGTATTGTGTGCGATGCTATTGTGTAGCGATTTTTCCTTACCGCATTAACACAAGCCGATGTGCACATTGGTCTACACTGCTGCGGACATTGGCCAATCATCTGGACGCACGTCCGCGAGCAGCTCGGCATACAAGCAGAATCGCAGGTGTTGGTCGGTACCTAAAGCATTTTCTAAATTTATTTTAACAAATTCTGTCAGACATTGTTATTCAAAACTTAAAAAAAGTGGATCAAACAAAATCATAGAAACTTAAAGCTTCGAGTTTTCGATCACTATCCTTACCCATGGACGTCTCGGGAAGCTGGGAAACTAAAATACACTCCTCAAAAAGTACAGAAAATACACAGCAGATGGCAAATGACATATAAAACAAGAAAATAAACTAGTTTCTGAATTGACTTACCACACTGATTTGTTGAAGACACTGCGGCAGACACCTTGGCATACACTCTGGGATACAGGTCAACTGGGTGCATGATGAAGGGCAGTTGTTGGTGCATGTACTGTAAAACGACGTTTTCTTAAACCTGATATCCGAAATCATACCTGCAAGTCACGGCTTGAACGCACTGCGCGTTACAGCTTGGCATGCAAGGTTGTACGCAGGTGGTTGACTGAAAAATAGCGGTAAGAGGAGTCTATTGGGTGAAAGAGCGAAAAAGATAGAGACAGACAGACAGAGAGAGAGAGAGAGAGAGAGAGAGAGAGAGAAAGAAATCGAAAGAAAACGAAAGAAAGCGAGAGAGAAACGGCCACAAAATCCCAAACCTTTACTTGCAGCGCCTGGACGCACTGTGGGGAGCACTGGGGCATACATGGCTGGATACAGGTTTGTTCGGAGACTCGGATCTAAAAATTCGCACTCTGGCAAGAAAGCATTAAAATACGCATTGCAATATCATTACAAAGGTAATACGTTAGGAATTACAGTACCTCCAAAGCCTCAACGCATTGCGGTCGGCAATCCGGCATGCAGGCCGCCATACAAGTCGGGCGGGCCGAGATCTGGAAAAGGATAAGTTAGGGGTTATCACGCATTTAAAATTTCTGATTTATCAAGTTTTAGCATTAGAAACAGTAACAAATGTATCGGTAATGAAATTCCCGTATCAAAATCATGGAGGAAGAGCGACCAAATTCTGATTTACACCTCGAGCTTACGACTTTCTGCCAAACTTTCTTTATTTCTCGCTATTTTTCACCCAAGTTGAATGTATTCCTCCTATACTAAACAACGCGGACATTTTGCTATACTTTACGGAGCTTTAGGCAAACGGAAATATTAGAATTTTTTTGCAAAGTCGTGATTTCGAAATCGACATTTTCCAAAAATTATCATTGATATTTGACAAAATTATTACAAAATTTGCTGTTTCGAAAAACGACTCTCCGACTACCGCTTCTTAGCAACACTTATTGTCGAAAATATCTATGCAAATCCTTACCGTCATCACCCGCTGCACACAGCTCGACGAACACGACGGTAGACACTCCTGCGGACAATTCGGAATCATCGCCCTCACACAGGCCGTATTACACGACGGCATACACGCCTGGATGCACGACGCCTGGGAAGAAACGCGAAGGCTGATCTGAATCACAAAAAAGGAATTACTGCCGGTGCGGTGATGCAGCTGGGTGAGCAGTCGGGCATGCAACGGGCGATGCACGAGTTGGACGGCTGCAAAATTAGGGAAATGATAAGGGATAAATCATAGATTGAGTATTTTTCTACAATAATTTTACAGTAAAAATCAAAAGGTTAAATAGATACATAAAATAAATATAAAAAGATAAGAAATTGATACGGCCAGTCGATTAAAAAATACCCAAATTTCAATCAGGAAAAAGGCTATCTGTGGCTTTTTTTTAAAAAACTAAAAAAGCTATGGAAACTGAAATTAAAACAGATTTAAGTGGGTTTTTTGGTTACAAAAGGAAATTTTTGTCTTGTCGTGACTTTAAGAAAAATAAATACCATAAATAATAAAGTCATACGACCCCGCCAAAAATGCCTTCAACCGCTTCTGGGCGATTTTCTGTTTCAGACGCTCAAAAAGCAAAAAATCTGGGCTGAGCCGGGGATTGAACCCGGGACCTCTCGCACCCTAAGCGAGAATCATACCACTAGACCACTCAGCCATGTGGGCAGGCGCGCCGAAAGGGCGATTTGAGGGGAGCGGAACGCAACTCCCGTCGGGGAAAAGCCGGTTTTGGCAGATTGGCAGGCCGAGCATCAAGATGAGACAAGGAAGGGGGGGAGGGGGTTCAGGAAGATCAAGGATAGCAAGTTGGACTAGTTGGGTAGCGATTTCCTATCTACTGATTTACAGCAGAATATGGCAATAATCGAGTTTTTCCATGAAAAGGAATAATTTTAACACGTCTACTAAAACCTAAAACACGTATGACGCTTTGGCAAGACGATTCTTTGCGATATTCAGTTCATCATGTTTGAAAAATGATTAAAAACAAGTTTATGAGTATAAATTAAGCAAAAGCTATAAAACAAAACCTGCAAACAAGACGGAAGACACTGGGGCATGCAACGATCCTCGCAAGTGCTGCCCATTTGCAGGCAAGATTGCGAGCAATCCGGCATACAACGAGCCGTGCATGTGGTGGCTGGTGCCTAATAACGAAAATGGGGCGTGCAAGAACTTATAAACAAACTTAATAAACTAAAATTTCTACTGAAAATTTGCTAAACCCACATCAATACCCATCACGCAAGCCGATGTGCACATTGGCATGCATCTGGCCGGGCAGACGGGCTCTGGTGAAGCGACTATCTGACGCGACATCATTGGGCAACCGCCGCACCTAAATTTTCAATTTTTTTTGGTTTAATTTAACCTTTAGTTTAAAAGTTGCGTGTTTGGATGTTTTAGATTTTGTGAAAAAACCGGGGCTAACGCGATTGCTGCTTTTCTGCCATTCTAGACAAATTATTACTTGTAGATTTTCTACGTTCATAGTATTACGCAATTTTCAAGGATTTAAAAATTTTATAAAACATTTCCTTACCCGCAATCCCCAGCCCCCATATTGCACATGCTGCAGCACTGCCGCTTACTCCTCGTCAACGACATCTGATAGGGGTACATTGAGTCGGACTGCTTTCCGGCTAGCACCAGCTCCTAAAGAAAGCATTCTTTGATTAGGTATGTTTTAAAAGCTACGTAGAGCTGTAGAATGTCGGAAACTCACGGCCGGCTGGGTGTAGATGCTGTCTTCATTGGCCACTACTTCGAGAATAAAAATCTGAAGCGCTAGGAAAACTTGGCCGAGCCGCTGCCGGTCGATCATTCTAAAAAATAGGCGTATTGAAAGGATACGAAAGCGAAGAAAAATCTATGAAAACTGGAATAACAAAACAATGCGAAAAAGAGGGAACTAGCCGGCTAACGAAATTCGGTAAGAAAATAGTTTCGAAGCCTTTCTGAGGTGAGGCAAGCTAGCATAGAGCATGCAGATACGCTTCAATGTATCGTCAAAGTAAGGCAAGCTAGCAGAGACTATTTAGGAAGCTTCAGAAGCCTCAGTGAGTCAGGTAAAAGGTAGAAAAATAAAGTCATGGGTACTGTATTGGGGGGAGGGGGTTTTTTTTTTTTTTTAAAAAATAAAAAATTTATTTTTTTTTTAAAAAAATTTTTTTAGGCGGGCGAAGAGGTCGGGAAGCAATCCCAAATACTAGATCAAAGTCCACACACTGGATGAGCAATTGAAAGTTCAGAATGATCTCATCGACGAATGGCCGGGATGGAGTGTATCTGTCTGGCTGTCTATGTGAGAGAGGTGAAGTGGCGGGTAAGTGGTCTCCGCATCCGCTTCCGCCGGCCCCCCACCATTTTTTGCATGTTGATTGGTGCCCGTCCCGGGGATGGGTTGCGTGAAGTAGCCTTCACCCACCCCCTATCGTAAGCACTACGGAAGTCCTGATTTTTTGTGGAAACCTGACCTAGAGGGGTTTACGGTAGCCACTGTCAAGCTTTTTGAAGAGTATAGGTCTAAAGCTAAAGAGCATCGACAGGCACTAGTTTTAAAGGGCCCTTTGGAAGCCAAAATCAGGTCTTACGATGCTCTTTGCCAAAATTGGGCACAATTGGCCTTTTGCTATTTTTTGCTTTTTTGGAGCATTGGAACTGAACTGCAAGCTAGCAGAGATTTTTGAAAACTACGGGCGGAGCTCCGATTTGCATGACGTGGCAAACTTTGGGATAACAGCAGAGATCCTTGAGGATTTGCTAACGTAAGCCACATTTTGTTGCATGTTAGGCAAGCTATCAGGGATCCTTGAGGATTTGTTACCGTAATTTCTGTGTACCCCGGAGCTAGAAGAGATTCTTTAAAACTTAGGAAATAACACACAACCTGGCGAACTAGCACAGGAATTTGCAACAATCTCTTTTGAACCACACAACTGGCAGGGGCGGTCTAGCAGAGAATCCATGGGAATCCGTAAAATTACTCTTGACAGCCTAGGGCCAGCTTGCGGAGACCTTTGAAGCGGCATCCGAAGGTTTTTGAAAGCGTTAGGGCAGTAGCAGAGAGATCTGAGGGCCGTCGCAAAAGTACTGAGCACCAACTATATGGCCAACACGCATAGGTCCTTGAAAAGCTAAACCTTGAGGGCAAGCTGGCAGAGTTCCCAGAAAAGTTAGGAACGACTGGGCAAGCTTGCAGAGCAACTTTCGGAATATTGGATGCTACCGTAACCCAAAACCCCATGCCAGCACACGGAAATTTTTGAGATTCCAGAAGCAGTCTGAAAACGGGAGGTGCAAAATTCGACGCAGGCACACACACGCCCCCACGGCAATTTCCGTCAGCTGGTGCCGACGGCGGCGGGGCCGAGCCGTTCGGAGCTGTCCATAGGTGTTGGGCGTAGTGGAGACTGTGTGTGTATTTCACACACACTCCCCTCGGCTGTGTTGATCTATTTGTGTCGCGCGAGTGTCAACCACTTCATCCGGGCGGCGCGCGCAGCGCTGCGCGCAAAGCGCCCCAGGCCCCGGGGCGTTGGAAAAAAGGCTGAACAACCCGCGGCTTCTCGCTGAACCCGGGTAACCGGAGAAGGCGGAGAGGTCCCTTTGGTCTCTCCTCTCTTCTGGAGCCGAGAGAATGACCCGAACGGCCTGGAACACTTTCTACAAACCCTTGATGCACGGAATTGCAACGGAGCCAAGGGAGGGGAGGAGCGTGAATGGGTTTAATTGGGATTTGAGGGGAGAGAAAGAGAAAGACAGAGATGAACATCGGGTATGGGACGAAACGGAGCTGAATGGAACGGAACGGAGCGTAACGGAACGTATCGGAACGGACTGTGTGTGAGCGGAACGCAACGCAACGCAAGGTAACGTAAGGGAGAGAGAGAGTGAGAGAGAGAGAGAGGGAGAGGGAGAGAGAGATAGATAGAGGCGATGAGCTAGTATCAGCTGTGTTCAGGCCCGTAGGAGGGGGCCAGGGGCCCTGGGCCCCGAAATCGAGTCGAGGTCCGAAAAATTCATAAGGGGGACCCTTATGATTTTCGTTACAAAACTTTCTGCCTGGCGCTGTTTATTGCCGTTTTTCAAACAGTTTTTACTTATATGAAGCCATTTTTTCAACATTTTTTGCCTGCGGCGCTGGTTTTTCATTTGTGAATCAAATGTTCATACAAATTTTGCCTGCGGCGCGTTTTCTGCTGTGTTTTCACCCCGAATTTGAGTGTAGCAAACGCTTTTTTTGCTATTTTTTTTGCCTGCGACGCTACTATTGACGCGATTTTCGGATGTTTTAAAAGTGGCGACGGGGAGGTCGCCAAAATTTTGGGCCCCGAAATTTCGGTTCCGCTACGGGCCTGGCTGTGTTACACTATACACACCTAGAGAGAGGGAGGATGAGCGCGTGCGGGCGGACGAGAAAAACAGCATCAGAAGAAGAATTTCCCGATCTTCTGAGGCGGTTTTAACTGAAACTGCGTTTAAAATGATCCTGCGGATCTGCAATAAGGAGAAATACTTTATCATGTTAATTTAAGGACAAGAAAAGCTAAATGCTAAATAGAATATGTCATACACAGTAGGAAACCCAGAAATCGACCAGGCGTTAGCCGGGAAATCCTACCAAAAAAGTTTTGCTTTAGAGCTTGGACACAACGAAAATTCAGCGAATAAAGATTAGCATTTTGACCCAGCGACAAACCAAGACAAGTCCAGGAAACAGCAAATCCGTCTGGATTTTGAGCTGCTTCTTCTTGGACCTTCTTCTTCGACTGCATCGAATTTTGGTGTATTGACAATCGAATCCGAGAGTATCAATTTTTAAGGTCGGATAAAAAAAAGAAAAAAGACAATACCGGCTGATTTTTGGACGCATGGTACGTTTTTTGCTTGGCAACACAAAACGGGCAATTCCTCGGAATCTGTTCCTCGTTGCTGATACAAAACTGGAACTCAATCAGCACTGTTATGGGAAATTTAAAGGGTCTGAAGGGCTCAAGAAAATCGCTTCCTGACGCCTTTAGAAGCCAACACGCCGTTGTGGTCGTTAAAAGGCTCCAAATGAACCCCCAATCCCGACGTTCGCCCTACCATAAGAAGGTCGGTGCCAAGCCGTAGACCGGTTCCGGCTATTTGCCATTGGGGGCTTCTCGTTTGCAACAGTTTGCGTGCATCAAGCCAAACAAAGAGGGAAGAAGAAGGAACGGGGGGCCAGAAGACCGTTTTTTCAGGTGTCAATTACCAGGAAAAAGCGATCTCCCGATCTCGGTCGAGAGCTCCCGTCCCGATTCTTTGCTCCTTCCATCTCGTGCGTAATCCGAATCCGGGTTTCCGGACCCGTTTCCGCACCTAGAAAAATTGGTAGTGGTCCTGAAACTTAACTAATTCTTTGAGATAAATACGAGAATTTATTATCTGCTTTTGAACAAATTAGCAAGGGGGTTGGCTTTGCAATTAGCACGAAATTGCACTTTTGACTTTTCAACCTTTTGTGCTAGGGCAAGCTAGCAGCGAATTTTCAGGAGGTTTTAAGGCAACATAAATTAAACCATTCGTACCAGGTTGTAAGCCCAAGGAGTAAGAATTCCCTAGAAGACACCTGGACACACAAAAATTTTAGAATTTGGAAAAAAATCTAGGCCAAAAAATATTGGGGATTTCTTAAAATAGCCAAAAAAATTTTGAAGTTTGGAAAAAAAGAACTAAAAATAGGTTCACAAGTTTAATAAATTACAAAAATTGGCGTTGTACGTTGCCTTCACAGTCCATTTAGAACGATCCGGAAATACTAATACTCCAAAATCCCTCGAAATTTTCAAGTATTAAAAGTTTACAACGCAGCTTTTAAAAATTTAGTACATTAACCGAACGTGCTGTTTAAAATGGTAGACTAAGTTGACTGAATTAAGCTCAGAAAGTTCCAAAAAATTAGAAAAATGCCTTCACGGTCCCTTTAACATCTGAGGAATTTTCTGGCTAATTGCCGAACTTATAAACACTACAAAAAGGCAGAAAGTTGATAAAGCTTCTGAGGAAATACTTGGACATTTGCCATGATCCGGAAAGCTCCTAAAGAACGGACCTTGGCTTTCCAATCCGCTTAAGTCTCTATGTTCCCTCAGGGCGACTTTTGGACTACGGTACCTTCCTCGGAACGGATACGGTGTACCCCGGAAAGACCAGCAGACGGGGTAGTTGCCTATCGGCCCAGGCGGGTGAAGTGGCCAAGTGGCGCAAATATGAAGCCGATACGATTGAACGCGCCACCACGGTGCGTGCAAATAAGGGGGGGGGGAAGGGCGGAAATTGAAACCCGTCGGCAAAAAAGGCCGCCGGCGTCCGGATCCGCTTCCTCTGCCCTGTTGTGATCGTCGGGGCGTTCGGCTCTCTCTTTCTCTCTCGCCTGTCCAAAGTTCGGTTTTGGAAAGCTTGCAAGAAGGCACGAAGATCGGTGGAAGGGATCGGATTGACGGGTCGCGAGGCTAGAAGAAACGGCTTGCGGAAACGGATGCAGAGGCGGCGCGGGTAAAAAAGTAGCCGCAGATCGCGGACGGAATTTGGCCGGGCCGATGAAACTACATTCATGGGATTCCTGGGGTTCCGGGGATTCCTGGGGATTTTTGGGCTCAAAATGCGCGAAAATCGGGCCAATAAAAGGTCAAAAAGTTTCTCGTGGAACTCTGAAATGTAGACAATATATGAAAGACACCTCGTAAGCGGTACTTGAGCAAAAGAAAAAAATTTTAGAGTCGATTATGTGGCTTTTTAACGGAAATGAGGTTGCGGTGAGAATTACGCGTCGTAGGCGATTGTAATCAAGATAAG